CAACAACAACCGCCATTCGCCGCTAAGTGGCGGTGACGTCACCACGACGCTTGTGCCAGGCTATGTGCACCCTGAGGCCACGTGAAGTGTCGAACTCCCGCTGGCAGGAGGTCACGGGGCAGACCCAGGTGCCACGGGTCGACTGACTGAGATGACTGGCTGATGCACCACCTGTGCCCCCTACTGTGCCAACCTGCTGTTCTTTAGCCACCCGGCACTCCGCTCGTTGTTCTGGGCAGTTGGAGGTAGTCGCCCTCCTTCAGTAGCGTCCTTCACGAGCCTCCTCCACAGAGGCCGATCTTGACACCGCTGGTACCAGTCATCGGCAAGTCCACTCAGCTCCATGTCCTCCTGTACCACATCACTCCATCTCTTCTCTAGCCCGTGCCGCGCCCGCATAGCCCTCTCAATCCGGCCGAACAAAAGCTGTTTCGGCATGCGGTGGCTGGGCATGCGGGCTACATGACCCAGCCATCGCAGCCTTCCCCGCCGGAGGAGCTCACCGATGGGACCTTGCCCAGATCTTTCAAGGATTTGTGAGCTCACACAATCCAGTCTGGTTAAACTCAGGATGAATCGTAGGCAGGCCAGCCTAAATGTTTCTAACCGGTGAAGATGTTCCATTTGGGGGGTCCACGTTTCGCAAGCGTAGAGAAGGGAGGGAATGACCGTGGCCGAGAAGACCTGAAGCTTAGTGCGGAGCGACAGACCAGGTAGCTTCCACAGCGTTACGCAACCGATGAAAAGATATTGCCGCTCGACTGATTCGGAGTGAGACCTCTGCTGTTAAACTGGAGCCAGTCATAAGCACACTGCCCGGGTATGGGAAACTCTCCACTCTCTCCACAACTGCCCCATCACCGATTGGGAGTTGTGGGGGTGGAGTGTCCGATGGTACAAAATACCCAGGCAGGTGCTTAGTTTTGGTGGGGCTGATGGTAAGGCCCCATCTCTTAGTGGCACGCTCCAGTCTCAGCAGCAGCGTCTCCAACTCCTCCTCTGAATGAGCAGCTATTACCAAATCATCAGCATACATAACGTGGTTGAGCAATAGGGAGCCATCCCTTGACCGCACCCGGGCATCGATCAGCCTCCCATTATATCTGTACCATATGGAGATTCCCCCAGTACAGCTATTGAAGGCTTCACGAACTACGTGGTCAAAATAGATGTTAAATAATGTGGGAGCCAGAGGACATCCCTGTCGCACCCCAAGGTGTAGAGGGAATGGCTCTGACTCCCGGCCACGTAATTTTACCCGGGCCCGCTCACCATCATGAAGGTCCTTAATGATCGTGAGCAGAGGGTCAGGTACTCCAAAAGCACGAAGAACAACCCAGAGCCCAGGCCTACTGATGGTATCATAGGCCTTGACCAGGTCAATAAAGCAGAGATGTAGGTCTTGTTGGAATTCCCTACACCTCTGCTGTAGCAGACGGACAGAAAATATGGCATCTGTGCAGGACCGCCCTTTCCTGAAACCGCATTGGGGCTTCGCAAGCCTCTCCTCAGCGTGCCTGGCAAGGCGATGCTGAATAATCCTTGCCAGGACCTTTCCCGGCACACTGAGGAGTGAGATGCCCCTGTAGTTGTTACAGTCTGTGCGGTCCCCCTTCTTAAAAAGGGGGACCACCAGGGCATCCTTCCAATCGTGCGGAACCCGTCCAGTGGTCCAGACCGTTGTTATGATGTCATATAGGGTAGTCTGTGCACAAACACCACCCTCCCTCGACATTTCGCTTTGGAGATCATCTCTGCCCGCTGCCTTTCCTGGTCTCAGACTCCGGATTGCCTTCAGTACTTCCTCAACAGATGGCACCTCAGCCAGCCACTCACAGGGGGTGACTTCCAATATTTGAGGCACCGCAGCCTCAGGAGGGTCATCCTCACTTTGTGCCGCGATGTTTTCCTGGCTGAGGGATTTTCCCTCCCCCAGGACCTCACAGAAATGCTCAGCAAATCTGCAAACCTGTTCCTGGGGGTCGGAGATTGGATCACCGTTTTTTCTCCTAATGATGGTAATAGGTGTGGCGCTGCAGGTTACTTTTTTGATGGAGTTAAATAGAGATTTGTGATCACGTGCCACTGAGGCAGACTCCATCTCCTCAGCAACCCGCGACCACCACCCATCCTTGCAGCGCCTCACGGCTCTCCGAACCTCCGAGCGAAGGCTGCGGTAAGCCTCCTCATTCTCTGACGTGGGATTCTGTAGCCGATGACTGTGGGCCTGTCGCTTTTTCTCAACCATCCTGAACACCTCCTCTGTCAGCCAGGGTCTCTGGGGAGGTCTGGACCGCATACCCAAAGCAGCCATTGCAGCTGCATGAGTCACAGTCCTAAACCTCGCCCATTTACCCTCGACATCAGGAGGAGTCGGGGACGATGTCAATCCCAGCCGCAAGCGATGATGAAATTCTCGCTTGCAACTTTCATCAGATAACTGAGACCAGGCCACTTTAGGTTGGAATGGGGTCCTGGGTGTACACCCACCACCGGAGTGGAAGAATGGCAGGCGCATCTTACAGATGACTGGTCGATGGTCAGAGGGCAGATCAGCTCCACGGTAGGTCCTGGTGTCAAGGACATGGGCTCGCATCCGCTGGTCCGTCACTATGTAGTCCAGCAGATGTTCTTGCTTGGACCCGGCATGCAACCATGATGTTGTGTGGATGCGCCGATGCCGGAACAGCGTGTTGGTAATTACAAGCCCATGGGCTGCACAAAAATCTAGCAGCCTCCTACCGTTGTTATTGAGCTGATCTGGCCCATGCCCTCCAATCACTCCAGACCAGGTGCCAGTATCATGACCAACTCGGGCATTGAAGTCACTCAACATGATGACTCTATCCTGAGGGGCCACTTTAGCCAGCACCTGTGACAGGAGGTCATAGAAGGCATCTGACTCATCGGCCTTGCCTGCATCCCTCTACGGATGTTCATCTTCAGTGGGGGCATAAGTAACCACGACCACCATTCCTCGCCTCTGGTTGATGGAAGGCGAGCCCAAAGTAGCCTGGTGCTTACAGCTTCCCACGCCTCACCGCCACGCTCCCCCGCCCCCTTCATTCTTTTGTTCAAAAGAAGAGCCACACCCTGTTGTTTGGCAGTCTGCTGCCCCGAGTAGAGGACTGTCCACCCCTCATGGTGGCAGGAGCCAGAGCCGGTCCACCGGACCTCCTGAATGCCACATAGCTCCAGGCGGTACCGGTCCAGCTCCCGACAGAGGAGTGGCAGCCTCTCCTCCGCTGTGAGCGTTCGAACATTCCACGTGGCCACACGTAGTGGCTTTTCGTTGTTTCTGGAGGAGCCCCGAGGGTAGATATTCAATCCCCTGGCTCCGCCAATTGGGGTTTGGCCAGGAGACGTCATAGACGCCTAGCCCCCCGGGGCCTACGGCACAAGCTTATTAGTTACATATTTCAGTTTAACTCGTGGTTTACTGGTAATTAATTGAAGGTGGAGGGGTTACCAGCCCCTCGCACCCGTCCAGAGCCCCCGTTTAGCCCCTGTGGTGGACACATATGCCATGAGGGGAGGAGCCAATCAAAATTGGACCTCCCCCCACAGCACTGTCCACGACAGAGTTGCCCGTCCGGCACCGCGAGGATGGTTTCAAATTAAGCAACCATTGGAAAGATGTTCTAAATCGAACTAAACATTAAACTAATTTCAATGGTACAGTATATTTTTTCAAGTAGTGGTACCCCAAACTTTCGCAGCTCTTATAAATTCCCTTTTCACACCATCAATAGGTAAACTCCCCCCCCCCCCCCCCGCGCCAAACGGCAAGTCCACCGGCACGTACACCACCTCTTTTCTAAAATCGGCCAATCAAATGCTAATTGTTATGCTAATTTCTTTGTCAGGACACCTTGTTTGCTCGCACACAGTTTAAAGGTCCGCTGTCTGAGCATGGTTGTGTTTCGCTAAATTCTCCAGTTTGATTTGTACTAGGTGCCTCGGTGAATGTATATGCTTTGACTTTAACATAGCTATTTCTGTGACCAGTTACAAGCTAATCACTCAGCTATTTCAATACTAAATTCTATGCTAATTCCTTTGTCAAGGGGTGCCTCTGCGGATGTGTATACTTTAACTTAGCTATTTCAATGCTAAATTCTATGCTAATTCCTTTGTCAAGGGGTACCTCTGCGGATGTGTATACTTTAACTTAGCTATTTCAATGAGCCATTTCAATGCTAAATTCTATGCTAATTCCTTTGTCAAGGGGTACCTCTGCGGATGTGTATACTTTAACTTAGCTATTTCAATGCTAAATTCTATGCTAATTCCTTTGTCAAGGGGTACCTCTGCGGATGTGTATACTTTAACTTAGCTATTTCAATGAGCCATTTCAATGCTAAATTCGATGCTAATTCCTTTGTCAAGGGGTACCTCTGCGGATGTGTATACTTTAACTTAGCTATTTCAATGCTAAATTCGATGCTAATTCCTTTGTCAAGGGGTACCTCTGCGGATGTGTATACTTTAACTTAGCTATTTCAATGAGCCATTTCAATGCTAAATTCGATGCTAATTCCTTTGTCAAGGGGTACCTCTGCGGATGTGTATACTTTAACTTAGCTATTTCAATGCTAAATTCTATGCTAATTCCTTTGTCAAGGGGTACCTCTGCGGATGTGTATACTTTAACTTAGCTATTTCAATGAGCCATTTCAATGCTAAATTATATGCTAATTCCTTTGTCAAGGCGCTTTGTTTCTTCTCACACAGCTTAAAGGTCGTGATCTGAGCGTGGCTTTTTCACTCCAGCGCTGTCCTCCAGACAGTCTCGTCCCTTCACCTGATGAAGGCCGCTTGTGTTGTGGCCGAAACGTCGTGATTTTTTGTTATTTTATTTTTCACCTACGTGACTTTACCCAATAGAACCAAAGAGTATGGATCCTAGCAGTCACGAACGCTTTACATCTAGAATTGAATAGGTAGGGGGTTGTTTTTTTCCGGACACACACACACCACACACACCACACACACTACACTACACACACGCCCCTTGCAATCGATTGCCGAGTCGACAACACCGTCGATCTCCATCGCCGCAGCGATCGATCTCCGACCTCTGCGATCGATCTCCGGACTCTGCGATCGACTGCTTCGGCCTGAGCCGGTGAAGGTTTTATTGCGACGAGGAAGCGCCGTCCGTCCACTCAACAGCAACCGCCACCACGAACACAACAATCTAACAAAAATAAACAAACAAACATGAAGCGACGTTTTAAATGAACGACTCGGCATGTCGAGCGATAGTTATCGCGCTAAAATGTAAATTTATTTCGTTAGTTGTTTTTCTCCCTCCTCTCCTCACAACCGGTTGACCCCAATGGACGACAGTGATCCCCGGTACGACCCCCCCCCCTCTTGCACACCCCTGCCGGGCGAGGCGCGTGTCGAGCGGTAGAGAAACTAGGAGAGGCCGGTGCCTCCTCCCGGGGTTAGGCCTCGTCGACATTTACCGGATTGTTTTAAAGCTTTCGTGACTGCAGGGATTCATATTCTTGGTTCTTTCGGTAAAGTCACCACGTTAGAATATATATATTTTTAAAATTATTTTATTGTTTCCCTTTCTACGTGACTTTACCGAAAGAACCAAGAATATATATACCGGATCGTTTACGCCGTGTGGGGGAATTCATTTGTCGCTAATCGAGCTGCGAATATTTACAAACAACATCATTATTATCATTATTATTAAATAACGCCGCTTAAGTGCGTGTATATATAGGGGGGTGGGTGGACTAAATTACTGCGGGGTTTTTTTTACCAACGCTGCCTCAGCATTCGCAACGGTGTTCTTAGCCGACGTTTCTGTGCGGCAGATAAGAACAATTTTATAATAATATTATTGTTGTTATTATTAAACTCGCGTCGTGTTAATAATTGTCTTATAAACCGCGCTGTCTTTTTTTGTCTTCAGTTTTAAAAACTAAAAAACAACGCGAAATAAATCCCCCTCCTCTTCCTCCCCCCAGCATAAACGATGATTTTGATATTCTTGATTCTTTCGGTAAAGTCACGTAGAAGGGAAATAATAAAATAAAAATATATAAAACGATACAATTCTCACGACGTTAAGACTGCAACACAAGCAATCATCAGGTCGAAGGGAAACAATAAAATAATTAAAATATACATATAAAACAATAGAAATTCTCACGACGTTTCGACTGCAACACAAGCAATCATCATCAGGTGTGAAAAACCACAGCAAGAAAATTTTTTTTTCAAATTTTCTTGCTGTGTTTTTCACACCTGATGATGATTGCTTGTGTTTGCAGTCGAAACGTCGCGAGAATTGTATTGTTTTATATTTTTATTATTTTATTGTTTCCCCTTCTAACGTGGTGGTGACTTTACCGAAAGAACCAAGAATGTGAATGATGATTTTGATCTTGAGGCTCCTAGGTCGACTCAGCCTTAAATGAGTAGCCTGGTGCCACGTGTCGTGAACATCGTTTATGTCGCGTGGGGGAGGGGGGGTGGGAAGACAAAGGCGGTCGGGCGTGGTTGCTGGACACTCCTACCCCCTCGTGTGCCACAGTGCCGGTAGCCTTCACAGCACTTGCCCCTACAGCCTGTTAGAGGCTACACGGGGGACCTTTGTCTGTGTCTACCTTCACAGGTGCTGCTGCTACTCGCTACTCACAGCACTTGCCCCTACAGTCTGTTAGAAGCTACACGGGGGACCTTTGTCTGTGTCTACCTTCACAGGTGCTGCTCGCTAACAGCACTTGCCCCTACAGCCTGTTAGAGGCTACACGGGGGACCTTTGTCTGTGTCTACCTTCACAGGCGCTGCTGCTACTCGCTACTCACAGCACTTGCCCCTACAGCCTGTTGGAGGCTACACGGGTGAGCTCTGTCTGTGTGCGTGTCGTCCCCTTGCTCACCCACCCCAGGCTCCAGTGCTGCTCGCTGCTGAGCCGCCTGTCAGCTGCCGTGGGCCGCCTCTTGCTGCTTGTGGCTCCCTGCACGGGGCTGGTGACCTGGGGGCCCGGGCGCGTGGGGGACGTGCTCCACGCCATCCTGGGGCACGGGCTGCGACACCCGCAGGTGATGGCGACGTCAACAACAACACTCGCCTACATCACTCATTGTCATCATCACTCACTCACCATCAACAACAACACTCACCTACATCACTCATTGTCATCATCACTCACTCACCGTCACCAACATCACTCACCTACATCACTCATCACTCACTCACCGTCACTCACCGTCAACAACAACACTCGCCTACATCACTCACCGTCACTCACCGTCACCAATATCACTCATCATCACTCATCATCATCACTCACCTACATCACTCACCATCATCATCACTCACCGTCACCAACATCACTCACCGTCACTCATCATCACCAACATCACTCACCATCAACAACATCACTCGCCTACATCACTCATCGTCACTCATCATCATCACTCACCATCACCAACATCACTCACCGTCACTCATCATCACCAACATCACTCACCATCAACAACATCACTCGCCTACATCACTCATCGTCACTCATCATCATCACTCACCGTCACTCACCGTCACCAACATCACTCACCATCAACAACATCACTCGCCTACATCACTCACCGTCACTCACCGTCACTCACCGTCACCAACATCACTCGCCTACATCACTCATCGTCACTCACCGTCACTCACCATCAACAACATCACTCGCCTACATCACTCACCGTCACTCACCGTCACTCACCGTCACCAACATCACTCGCCTACATCACTCATCGTCACCAACATCACTCGCCTACATCACTCACCGTCACTCATCATCATCACTCACTCACCGTCACCAACATCACTCACCATCACTCACTATCACTCATCATCATCACTCATCATCATAACTCACCGTCACCAACATCACTCACCGTCACCAACATCACCAACATCACTCACCCACATCACTCACCGTCACCAACATCACTCACCGTCACTCATCATCACTCACTCACCGTCACCAACATCACCAACATCACTCACCATCATAACTCACCGTCACCAACATCACTCACTGTCACCAACATCACTCACCAACATCACTCATCATCACTCACTGTCACCAACATCACTCACCATCACGATCATCACTCACCATCATCACTCACCAACATCACTCATCATCACCAACATCACTCACCAACATCACTCATCGTCACTCACCATCATCACTCACTCACCGTCACCAACATCACTCACCATCACTCACCAACATCACTCACCGTCACCAACATCACTCATCATCACTCATCATCATAACTCACCGTCACCAACATCACTCACCATCACCAACATCACTCACCGTCACCAACATCACTAACATCACTCACCGTCACCAACATCACCAACATCATTCACCATCACCAACATCACTCACCGTCACCAACATCACTAACATCACTCACCATCACCAACATCACCAACATCACTCACCATTACCAACATCACTCACCATCACCAACATCACCAACATCACTCACCATCACCAACATCACTCACCATCACCAACATCATTCACCATCACCAACATCATTCACCATCACCAACATCACTCACCATCACAAACATCACTCACCGTCACCAACATCACCAACATCACTCACCATCACCAACATCACTCACCGTCACCAACATCACTCATCATCACTCAACATCACCAACATCATTCACCATCACCAACATCATTCACCATCACCAACATCACTCACCATCACCAACATCACTCACCATCACCAACATCACTCACCGTCACCAACATCACTCATCATCACTCATCATCATAACTCACCGTCACCAACATCACTCACCGTCACCAACATCACGAACATCATTCACCATCACCAACATCACTCATCATCACCAACATCACTCACCATCACCAACATCACCAACATCACTCACCATCACCAACATCACTCACCGTCACCAACATCACTAACATCACTCACCAACATCACTCACCATCACCAGCATCACTCACCATCACCAACATCATTCACCATCACCAACATCACTCACCGTCACCAACATCACCAACATCACTCACCATCACCAGCATCACTCACCATCACCAACATCACTCACCATCACTCATCATCATCACTCATCATCACTCACCATCACCAACATCACTCAACATCACCAACATCACCAAAATCACTCACCAACATAACTCACCGTCACCAACATCACTCATCATCACTCACCGTCACCAACATCACTCACCATCACTAAACATCACTCACCATCACTCACCGTCACCAACATCACTCACCGTCACCAACATCACTCACCATCACTCACCGTCACCAACATCACTCAACATCACCAACATCACTCACCATCACCAACATCACTCACCATCACTCACCGTCACCAACATCACTCAACATCACCAATATCACTCACCAACATCACTCACTATCATCACTCACCGTCACCAACATCACTCACCATCATCACTCACCATCATCACTCACCATCACCAACATCACTCACCATCATCACTCACCGTCACCAACATCACTCACCATCACCAACATCACTCACCATCACTCACCGTCACCAACATCACTCAACATCACTCACCATCACCAACATCACTCACCGTCACCAACATCACTCACCATCACCAACATCACTCACCATCACTCACCATCACCAACATCACTCAACATCACCAACATCACTCACCATCATCACTCACCATCACCAACATCACTCACCGTCACCATCATAACTCACCGTCACCAACATCACTCACCGTCACCAACATCACTCAACATCACTCACCATCACCAACATCATTCACCATCACCAACATCACTCACCGTCACCAACATCACTCACCATCACCAACATCACTCATCATCACTCACCATCACCATCATCACTCACCATCATCACTCACCATCACCAACATCACTCACCGTCACCATCATAACTCACCGTCACCAACATCACTCACCATCACTCATCATCATAACTCACCATCACCAACATCACTCATCATCACTCACCATCACTCACCATCACCAACATCACTCACCATCACTCACCATCATCACTCACCGTCACCAACATCACTCACCATCATCACTCACCATCACCAACATCACTCACCGTCACCAACATCACTCACCGTCACCATCATAACTCACCGTCACCAACATCACTCACCGTCACCAACATCACTCACCGTCACCAACATCACTCACCATCACTCATCATCACTCAACATCACTCACCATCACCAATATCACTCACCATCACCAATATCACTCATCATCATTCACCATCACCAACATCACTCACCGGCATCACTCACCATCACCAACATCACTCACCATCACTCACCATCACTCACCATCACCAATATCACTCATCATCACTCACCATCACTCACCATCACCAACATCACTCACCATCACCGGCATCACTCACCATCACCAACATCACTCATCATCACTCACCATCACCAACATCACTCACCATCACCAACATCACTCACCATCACCAACATCACTCACCATCACCAACATCACTCACCATCACTCACCGTCACCAACATCACTCAACCATCACCAACATCACTCACCATCACCAACATCACCAACATCACCAACATCACTCAACATCACCAACATCACTCACCATCACCAACATCACTCAACATCACCAACATCACTCACCGTCACCAACATCACTCACCGTCACCAACATCACTCACCATCACTCATCATCACTCAACATCACTCACCATCACCAATATCACTCACCATCACCAATATCACTCATCATCATTCACCATCACCAACATCACTCACCGGCATCACTCACCATCACCAACATCACTCACCATCACTCACCATCACTCACCATCACCAATATCACTCATCATCACTCACCATCACCAACATCACTCACCATCACCGGCATCACTCACCATCACCAACATCACTCACCATCACCGGCATCACTCACCATCACCAACATCACTCACCATCACCAACATCACTCACCGTCACCAACATCACTCACCGTCACCAACATCACTCACCGTCACCAACATCACTCACCGTCACCAACATCACTCACCATCACTCATCATCACTCACCATCACTCACCATCACTCACCATCACCAATATCACTCATCATCACTCACCATCACCAACATCACTCACCATCACCGGCATCACTCACCATCACCAACATCACTCACCATCACTCACCATCACTCACCATCGCCAACGGCTGCATGAACCCCGATGATCACTTGCCTATCGTTGTGGTGGTGGTTGAGGGTGGTGGTTGTAGTGGTGGTTGTAGTGGTTGTGGTGGTGGTGGTTGTGGTGATGGTTGTGGGGGTGGTTGTAGTGATGGTTGTGGGGGTGGTTGTAGTGGTTGTAGTGGTTGTGGTGGTGGTTGTGGTGGTGGTTGTAGTGGTTGTGGTGGTGGTGGTTGTTGTAGTGGTTGTAGTGGTGGTTGTGGTGGTGGTTGTAGTGGTTTTGGTGATGGTTGTGGGGGTGGTTGTAGTGATTGTAGTGGTGGTTGTGGTGGTTGTAGTGGTGGTTGTAGTGGTTGTGGTGGTGGTTGTGGTGGTGGTTGTAGTGGTTTTGGTGATGGTTGTGGTGGTGGTTGTAGTGGTTGTGGTGGTGGTTGTGGTGGTGGTTGTAGTGGTTGTAGTGGTGGTTGTGGTGGTGGTTGTGGGGGTGGTTGTAGTGGTTGTGGTGGTTGTAGTGGTTGTAGTGGTGGTTGTAGTGGTGGTTGTGGTGGTGGTTGTAGTGGTTGTGGTGGTGGTGGTTGTGGTGGTGGTTGTAGTGGTTGTGGTGGTTGTGGTGGTGGTTGTAGTGGTTGTAGTGGTGGTTGTAGTGGTTGTAGTGGTGGGTGTGGTGGTGGTTGTAGTGGTTGTGGTGGTGGTTGTAGTGGTGGTGGTGGTTGTAGTGGTTGTAGTGGTGGTTGTAGTGGTTGTAGTGGTGGTTGTAGTGGTGGTTGTAGTGGTTGTAGTGGTGGTTGTGGTGGTGGTTGTAGTGGTTGTGGTGGTGGTTGTAGTGGTTGTGGTGGTGGTTGTGGTGGTGGTGGTAGTGGTTGTGGTGGTTGTGGTGGTGGTTGTAGTGGTTTTGGTGATGGTTGTGGTGGTGGTTGTAGTGGTTGTAGTGGTGGTTGTAGTGGTTGTGGTGATGGTTGTGGGGGTGGTGGTGGTTCGAGTGGTTGTAGCGGTCGTGGTTGTTGTGCTGGTGATTGTGGTGGTTGTTGTGGTGCTTGTGTTGGTGGTGGTTGTTGTGTTGGTGGTGGTGGTTGTTGTTGTGTTGGTAGTGGTGGTTGTTGTGGTGCCTGTGTTGGTGGTGGTTGTTATGTTGGTGGTGGTTTTGGTGGTTGTGCTGGTGGCGGTGATTGTGTTGGTGGTTGTGGTGATTGTGGTGCATGTGTTGTTGGTTGTGGTGTTGGTGGTGGTGGTTGTGGTGGTTCCAGGCCGGGTACTTGGAGTTGCTCAGGACTCTGGAGCGACTCTGCCCGGATTTCTCCCCGATCGACGCTCAGGCAAGTACAAGGCTTCACAGGCACAACAGGCCTCGCACGCACACACACACACACACACAACAACAACAACAACAACTGCCATTCGCCACTAAGTGGCGGTGACGTCACCACGACGCTTGTGCCAGGCCATGTGCACCTTGAGGCCACGTGAAGTGTCGAACGCCCGCTGGCAGGAGGTCACGGGGCAGACCCAGGTGCCACGGGTAGACTGACTAAGATGACTGAGATGACTGGCTGATGCACCACCTGTGCCCCCTACTGTGCCAACCTGCTGTGCTTTAGCCACCCGGCGCTCCTCTCGTTGTTGTGAGCATCGCTCCTCCGCCCTCCGCTGTTGTTGGAGGGCGACTGCCTCCAACTGCCCAGTAGCGTCCTTCACGAGCCTCCTCCACAGAGGCCGATCTTGACACCGCTGGTACAAGTCATCGGCAAGTCCACTCAGCTCCACGTCCTCCTGTACCACATCACTCCATCTCTTCTCTAGCCCGTGCCGCGCCCGTTTAGCCCCCTCAATCCTGCCGAACAAAAGCTGTTTAGGCATGCGGTGGCTGGGCATGCGGGCTACATGACCCAACCAACGCAGCCTTGCCTGCCGGAGGAGCTCACCGATGGGACATTGGCCAGATCTTTCAAGGATTTGTGAGCTCCTCACACAATCCAGCCTGGTTAATCCCAGGATGGATCGTAGGCAGGCTAGCCTAAATGTTTCTAACTGGCGAAGATGTTCCATTAGGGGTGTCCACATTTCGCAAGCGTAGAGAAGGGAGGGAATGACCGTGGCCGAGAAGACCTGAAGCTTAGTGCGGAGCGACAGACCAGGTAGCTTCCACACAGAGTTACGCATCCGATGGAAAGATATTGCCGCTCGACTGATTCGGAGTGAGACCTCTGCTGTTAAACTGGAGCCAGTCATGAGCACACTGCCCAGGTATGGGAAACTCTCCAATCTCTCCACAACTGCCCCATCACCGATTGGGAGTTGTGGGGGTGGAGTGTCCGATTTTGCAAAATACCCAGGCAGGTGCTTAGTTTTGGTGAGGCTGATGGTAAGGCCCCACCTCTTAGTGGCACGCTCCAGTCTCAGCAGCAGCGTCTCCAACTCCTCCTCTGAATGAGCGGCTATTACCAAATCATCGGCATACATAACGTGGTTGAGCAATAGGGAGCCATCCCTTGACCGCACCCGGGCATCGATCAGCCTCCCATTATATCTGTACCAAATGGAGATTCCCCCGGCACAGCTATAGAAGGCTTCACGAACTACGTGGTCACACACACACACACACCACACACGCACACACACGCACACGCACACCACATGCACACACACGCACACACACACGCACACACACACACGCACACCACATGCACACACACACACGCACACACACACGCACACACACACGCACACACACACGTGCGTTTGTCTACATGTGTACACGTATGTGCGCAGGTGTGGGCTACACAGGGGACCTCTGTGTGTGTGTCTGTGTGTCTGTCTGTGTGTGTCTGTGTGTCTGTGTGTGTGGAGCGGTGGGTGTAGCGGTTAGCGCTACAATGTGAACCTGGCCACCCGGGTTCGATTCCCGCTCCCGGCCAACACCCCCCCGGGCGACGATTATCTGAACCGGTCCCGGGCCCTCCCCTAGGTCGACTCAGCCTCAAATGAATACCTGCTGCTGTGTGTAAAACATCGCCACTGGGGGAGACAAAGGCGGCCGGGCGTGGTGCCGGTAGCCGCCCACCGCCTCCGTGTGCCGTTTCCGGCCTTCGCAGGTGCTGCTCGCTAGCGGCACTTGCCCCCTAGAGTCTGTTAGAGGCTACACGGGGGACCTTTGTCTTTGCGTGCACGAGCAGGGCATGGAGCAGGAGGAGTCCATTGCGCTCGGGTCCGGGGATCCCAGCCAGCCGGCGGTGCGTTGGCTGAGCCAGGCGATGCGCTCGCTCGCGCTGTCTCGCCTGCTGAGCCCACTGCTGCTGCAGCCTCACCCCGTGGGAAGTCTCTACGCAGGTACACACGCACGCACGTGTGTGTGTGTGTAGGCACGTGTGTGTGTGTAAGCACGTGTGTGTGTGTGTGTGTAGGCACGTGTGTGTGTGTGTAGGCACGTGTGTGTGTGTGTAGGCACGTGTGTGTGTGTGTAAGCGTGTGTGTGAGCGTGTGTTGTGTGTGAGCACGTGTGTGTGAGAGCACGTGTGTGTGAGCGCATGTGTGTGTGTGTGTAAGCGTGCGTGTGTGTGAGCACGTGTGTGTGTGCGGCAAAACAACCCCCTACCTCCTCGCGGTGCCGGACGGGCAACTCTGTCGTGGACAGCGCTGTGGGGGGAGATCCAATTTTGATTGGCTCCTCCCCTCATGGCATATGTGTCCACCACAGGGGCTAAACGGGGGCTCTGGACGGGTGCGAGGGGCTGGTAACCCCTTCACCTTCAATTAATTACCACGAAACCACGAATTAAACTGAAATATGTAACAACTAAGCTTGTGCCGGAGGCCCCGGGGGGCCAGGCGTCTATGACGTCTCCTGGCCAAACCCCAATTGGCGGAGCCAGGAGATTGAATACCTACCCTCGGGGCTACTCCAGAAACAACGAAAAGCCACTACGGGTGGCCACGTGGAATGTTCGAACGCTCACTGCAGAGGAGAGGCTGCCACTCCTCTGTCGGGAGCTGGACCGGTACCGCCTGGATCTATGCGGCATTCAGGAGGTCCGGTGGACCGGCTCTGGCTCCTGCCACCATGAGGGGTGGACAGTCCTCTACTCGGGGCAGCAGACTGCCAAACAACAGGGTGTGGGTCTTCTTTTGAACAAAAGAATGAAGGGGGCGTGGGAGCGTGGCGGTGAGGTGTGGGAAGCTGTAAGCCCCAGGCTACTTTGGGCTCGCCTTCCCATCAACCGGAGGCGAGGAATGGTGGTCGTGGTTACTTATGCCCCCACCGAAGATGAACATCCGTGGAGGGATGCAGGCAAAGCCGATGAGTCAGATGCCTTCTATGACCTCCTGTCACAGGTGCTGGCTAAAGTGGCCCCTCGGGATAGAGTCATCATGTTGGGTGACTTCAATGCCCGAGTTGGTCATGATACTGGCACCTGGTCTGGAGTGATTGGAGGGCATGGGCCAGATCAGTTCAATAACAACGGTAGGAGGCTGCTAGATTTTTGTGCAGCCCATCGGCTTGTAATTACCAACACGCTGTTCCGGCATCGGCGCATCCACACAACATCATGGATGCATGCCGGGTCCAAGCAAGAACATCTGCTGGACTACATAGTGACGGACCAGCGAATGCGAGCCCATGTCCTTGACACCAGGACCTACCGTGGAGCTGATCTGCCCTCTGACCATCGACTAGTCATCTGTAAGATGCGCCTGCCATTCTTCCACTCCGGTGGTGGGTGTACACCCAGGACCCCATTCCAACATAAAGTGGCCTGGTCTCAGTTATCTGATGAAAGTTGCAAGCGAGAATTTCATCATCGCTTGCGGCTGGGATTGGCATCGTCCCCGACTCCTCCTGATGTCGAGGGTAAATGGGCGAGGTTTAGGACTGTGACTCATGCAGCTGCAAAGGCTGCTTTGGGTACGCGGTCCAGACCTCCCCAGAGACCCTGGCTGACAGAGGAGGTGTTCAGGATGGTTGAGAAAAAGCGACAGGCCCACTGTCATCGGCTACAGAATCCCACGTCAGAGAATGAGGAGGCTTACCGCAGCCTTCGCTCGGAGGTTCGGAGAGCCGTGAGGCGCTGCAAGGATGGGTGGTGGTCGCGGGTTGCTGAGGAGATGGAGTCTGCCTCAGTGGCCCGTGATCACAAATCTCTATTTAACTCCATCAAAAAAGTAACCTGCAGCGCCACACCTATTACCATCATTAGGGGAAAAAACGGTGATCCAATCTCCGACCCCCAGGAACAGGTTCGCAGATTTGCTGAGCATTTCTGTGAGGTCCTGGGGGAGGGAAAATCCCTCAGCCAGGAAAACATCGTGGCACAAAGTGAGGATGACCCTGCTGAGGCTGCGGTGCCTCAAATATTGGAAGAAGTCACCCCCTGTGAGTGGCTGGCTGAGGTGCCATCTGCTGAGGAAGTTTTGAAGGCGGTCCGGAGTCTGAGACCAGGAAAGGCAGCGGGCAGAGATGATCTCCCAAGCGAAATGCTGAGGGAGGGTGGCGTTTGTGCACAGACTGCCCTATATGACATCATAACAACAGTCTGGACCACTGGACGGGTTCCGCAGGATTGGAAGGATGCCCTGGTGGTCCCCCTTTTTAAGAAGGGGGACCGCACAGACTGTAACAACTACAGGGGCATCTCACTCCTCAGTGTGCCGGGAAAGGTCCTGGGAAGGATTATTCAGCATCGCCTTGCCAGGCATGCTGAGGAGAGGCTTGCGGAGCCCCAATGCGGTTTCAGGAAAGGGCGGTCCTGCACAGATGCCATATTTTCTGTCCGTCTGCTACAGCAGAGGTGTAGGGAATTCCAACAAGACCTACATCTCTGCTTTATTGACCTGGTCAAGGCCTATGATACCATCAGTAGGCCTGGGCTCTGGGTCGTTCTTCGTGCTTTTGGAGTACCTGACCCTCTGCTCACGATCATTAAGGACCTTCATGATGGTGAGCGGGCCCGGGTAAAACTACGTGGCCGGGAGTCAGAGCCATTCCCTGTACACCTTGGGGTGCGACAGGGATGTCCTCTGGCTCCCACATTATTTCACATCTATTTTGACCACGTAGTTCGTGAAGCCTTCAATAGCTGTACCGGGGGAATCTCCATATGGTACAGATATAATGGGAGGCTAATCGATGCCCGGGTGCGGTCAAAGGATGGCTCCCTATTGCTCAACCACGTTATGTATGCTGATGATTTGGTAATAGCTGCTCAGTCAGAGGAGGAGTTGGAGATGCTGCTGCTGAGACTGGAGCGTGCCACTAAGAGATGGGGCCTTACCATCAGCCCCACCAAAACTAAGCACCTGCCTGGGTATTTTGTACCATCGGACACTCCACCCCCACAACTCCCAATCGGTGATGGGGCAGTTGTGGAGAGAGTGGAGAGTTTCCCATACCTGGGCAGTGTGCTTATGACTGGCTCCAGTTTAACAGCAGAGGTCTCACTCCGAATCAGTCGAGCGGCAATATCTTTTCATCGGCTGCGTAACGCTGTGTGGAAGCTACCTGGTCTGTCGCTCCGCACTAAGCTTCAGGTCTTCTCGGCCACGGTCATTCCCTCCCTGCTCTACGCTTGCGAAACGCGGACCCCCCTAATGGAACATCTTCGCCGGTTAGAAACATTTAGGCTGGCCTGCCTACGATCCATCCTGGGTTTAACCAGACTGGATTGTGTGAGGAGCTCACAAATCCTTGAAAGATCTGGGCAGGGTCCCATCGGTGAGCTCCTCCGGCAGGCAAGGCTGCGATGGCTGGGTCATGTAGCCCGCATGCCCAGCCACCGCATGCCAAAACAGCTTTTGTTTGGCCGGATTGAGGGGGCTAAGCGGGCGCGGCACGGGCTAGAGAAGAGATGGAGTGATGTGGTACGGGAGGACGTGGAGCTGAGTGGACTTGCCGATGACTGGTACCAGCAGTGTCAAGATCGGCCTCTGTGGAGGAGGCTCATGAAGGATGCTACTGGGCAGTTGGAGGCAGTCGCCCTCCAACAACAATGGAGGGCGGAGGAGCGACGCTCAGAACAACGAGCGGAGCGCTGGGTGGCTAAAGCACAGCAGGTTGGCACAGTAGGGGGCACAGGTGGTGCATCAGCCAGTCATCTCAGTCAGTCGACCCGTGGCACCTGGGTCTGCCCAGTGACCTCCTGCCAGCGGGCGTTCGACACTTCACGTGGCCTCACGGTGCACATGTCCTGGCACAAGCGTCGTGGTGACGTCACCGCCACTTAGTGGCGAATGGCGGTTGTTGTTGTGTAAGCGTGTGTGTGTACTGTGTGTGTGTGTAAGCGTGTGTGTGTAAGCGCATGTGTGTGTGTGTGAGCACGTGTGTGTGTGTGTATAACCGTGTGTGTGTACGTGTGTTAGTGGGGAGCGATAGTGTAGCGGTTAGCGCTACGCTGCGCTATGAACCCGGCGACCCGAGTTCGATTCCCGCTCACGGCCAACACCAGTGACGATTATCTGAACCGGTCCTGGGCCTCTCCTAGGTCGACTCAGCCTCAAATGAGTACCTGGTGTGGTGTGTAGTCAACATCGCCACTGGGGAGACAAAGGCGGTCGGGCGTGGTGCCAGCCACCCACCCCCTCGTGTACCGTTCTGGCCTTCATAGGTGCTCGCTAACAGCACTTGCCCCTACAGTCTGTTAAGGCTATTCGGTGGATCTTTGTCTTTTGTGTACGTGTGTGCATGTACACGTGCGTGTATGTACGCGTGTGTGTGTGAGTGTGTGTGTGAGCGCGTGTGTGTGTGTGAGCGCGTGTGTGTGTGTGAACGTGTGTGCGTGTACACGTGTCTGTGTGTGTACGCGTGTGTGCATGTCTGTGTGTGTGTGCGTGTACACGTGTGTGCGTGTGTGTACGTGTGTGCGTGTACACGTGTGTGTGTATACACGTGTGTTTGTGCGTGTACACGTGTGTGTGTGTGTGTACACGTGTGTGCGTGTGTGTGTGTGAGTGTGTGTGTAAGCGTGTGTATGTGTGAGCGCGTGTGTGTGTGTGTACGTGTGTGCGTGTACACGTGTCTGTGTGTGTACGTGTGTGTGTGTGTACACGTGTTTGTGTGTGTGTGTACGTGTGTGTGTGTGTGTACGTGTGTGTGTGTGTGTACGTGTGTGTGTGTGGAACCGTAGCGTAGCGGTTCACGCACCGCGTTACAATCCCCCCCGGCGACCCGGGTTTCGATTCCCGCTCACGGCCAACACCGGTGAAGGTCACGCCGGGTGACCTTCACCTCGCCCCCACGTGGTGTTAGAGGTCATGCCGGGTGACCTTGGCTTCACCCCCCGCGTGGTGTTAGAGGTCACGCCGGGTGACCTTCACCTCGCCCCCACGTGGTGTTAGAAGTCATGCCGGGTGACCTTGGCTTCGCCCCCCGCGTGGTGTTAGAGGTCACGCCGGGTGACCTTGGCCTCGCCCCCGCGTGGTGTTAGAGGTCACGCCGGGTGACCTTGGCTTCGCCCCCACGTGGTGTTAGAGGTCACGCCGGGTGACCTTGGCTTCGCCCCCCGCGTGGTGTTAGAGGTCATGCCGGGTGACCTTGGCTTTGCCCAGAGCACGCGTTTGCCCGGAGTGTGCCACACGTGACGGCCATGTTGCTGTGCCTGGGGGCGCTGGAGGAGAACAACCCGGGGCAGCTGGGGCTCATCGACCCAGCCACGGTGAGCGTGCTCACCACTCACTCACCACTCACTCACCACTCACCACTCACTCACCACTCACTCACCACTCACTCACCACTTACTCACCACTCACTCACCACTCACCACTAGCTCACCACTCACCACTCACTCACCACTCACCACTCACTCACCACTCACTCACCACTCACTCACCACTTACTCACCACTCACTCACCACTCACCACTAGCTCACCACTCACCACTCACTCACTCACCACTAGCTCACCACTCACTCACCACTCACTCACCACTCACTCACCACTCACCACTAGCTCACCACTCACCACTCACTCACCACTCACTCACCACTAGCTCACCACTCACTCACCACTAGCTCACCACTCACTCACCACTCACTCACCACTAGCTCACCACTAGCTCACCACTCACCACTTACTCACCACTTACTCACCACTCACTCACCACTCACTCACCACTAGCTCACCACTCACCACTTACTCACCACTCACTCACCACTCACTCACCACTCACCACTAGCTCACCACTCACTCACCACTCACTCACCACTCACTCACCACTAGCTCACCACTAGCTCACCACTCACTCACCACTCACTCACCACTCACTCACCACTAGCTCACCACTCACTCACTCACTTACTCACCACTCACCACTTACCACTAGCTCACCACTCACCACTCACTCACCACTTACTCACCACTCACCACTAGCTCACCACTCACTCACCACTCACTCACCACTAGCTCACCACTCGCTCACCACTCACTCACCACTCACTCACCACTCACTCACCACTAGCTCACCACTAGCTCACCACTAGCTCACCACTCACCACTAGCTCACCACTCACCACTCACTACACCACTCACCACTCACCACTAGCTCACCACTCACTCACCACTCACCACTCACTCACCACTCACCACTAGCTCACCACTCACTCACCACTCACTCACCACTCACTCACCACTCACCACTAGCTCACCACTCACTCACCACTCACTCACCACTCACCACTAGCTCACCACTCACTCACCACTCACTCACCACTCACCACTAGCTCACCACTAGCTCACCACTCACTCACCACTCACTCACTCACTCACCACTCAACACTCACTCACCACTCACTCACCACTCACTCACCACTCACCACTAGCTCACCACTCACTCACCACTCACTCACCACTCACTCACCACTCACTCACCACTAGCTCACCACTCACCACTCACTCACTCACCACTCACTCACCACTCACCACTCACTCACCACTCACCACTAGCTCACCACTCACCACTCACTCACCACTCACTCACCACTCACCACTCACTCACCACTAGCTCACCACTCACCACTCACTCACCACTCACTCACCACTAGCTCACCACTCACTCACCACTCACTCACTCACTCACCACTCACTCACCACTCACTCACTCACCACTCACTCACTCACCACTCACTCACCACTCACTCACTCACTCACCACACTCACCACTCACTCACCACTCACTCACTCACCACTCACTCACCACTCACTCACCACTCACCACTCACTCACCACTCACTCACCACTCACCACTAGCTCACCACTCACTCACCACTCACTCACCACTCACCACTAGCTCACCACTCACTCACCACTCACTCACTCACCACTCACCACTCACTCACCACTCACTCACCACTCACTCACCACTCACCACTCACTCACCACTCACCACTCACTCACCACTCACTCACTCACCACTCACTCACCACTCACTCACCACTCACTCACCACTCACCACTCACTCACCACTCACTCACTCACTCACCACTCACTCACCACTCGCTCACCACTCACTCACTCACTCACCACTCACTCACCACTCACTCACTCACCACTCACTCACCACTCACTCACCACTCACCACTCGCTCACCACTCACTCACCACTCACTCACCACTCGCTCACCACTCACTCATCAACTCACTCACTCACTCACCACTCACCACTCGCTCACCACTCACTCACCACTCACTCACCACTCACTCACTCACCACTCACTCACTCACTCATAAACTCACTCACTCACTCACCACTCACTCACTCACTCATAAACTCACTCGCCACTCACTCGCTCACTCACTCATAAACTCACTCACCACTCACTCACTCACCACTCACTCACCACTCACTCACCACTCACTCACTCACCACTCGCTCACTCACCACTCACTCACTCACTCACCACTCGCTCACTCACCACTCACTCACCACTCACTCACCACTTGCTCACCACTCGCTCACTCGCTCACCACTAGCTCACCACTCACTCACCACTCACTCACCACTCACTCACCACTCACTCACCACTCACCACTAGCTCACCACTCACCACTCACTCACCACTCACTCACCACTAGCTCACCACTCACTCACCACTAGCTCACCACTCACTCACCACTCACTCACCACTAGCTCACCACTAGCTCACCACTCACCACTTACTCACCACTTACTCACCACTCACTCACCACTCACTCACCACTAGCTCACCACTCACCACTTACTCACCACTCACTCACCACTCACTCACCACTCACCACTAGCTCACCACTCCACACCACTCACTCACCACTCACTCACCACTAGCGCACCACTAGCTCACCACTACTCACTCACTCACTCACCACTACTCACCACTCACTCACCACTAGCTCACCACTCACTCACTTCACTTACTCACCACACACCACTTACCACTAGCTCACGCACTCACCACTTACTCACCACTCACCACTAGCTCACCACTCACTTCACCCTCTCACCTCACTCACCACTCACCCGTTCACTCACCACTCACTCACCACTCACTCACCACTCACTCACCACTAGCTCACCACTAGCTCACCACTAGCTCACCACTCACCACTAGCTCACCACTCACCACTCACTACACCACTCACCACTCACCACTCACCACTAGCTCACCACTCACTCACCACTCACCACTCACTCACCACTCACCACTAGCTCACCACTCACTCACCACTCACTCACCACTCACTCACCACTCACCACTAGCTCACCACTCACCACTCACTCACCACTCACTCACCACTCACCACTCACTCACCACTAGCTCACCACTCACTCACTCACTCACCACTCACTCACCACTAGCTCACCACTCACTCACCACTCACTCACCACTCACTCACCACTCACTCACCACTCACTCACTCACTCACTCACTCACTCACCACTCACCACTCACTCACCACTCACTCACCACTACTCACCACTAGCTCACCACTCACTCACTCACCACTCACTCACCACTCACTCACCACTCACCACTCACTCACCACTCACCACTAGCTCACCACTCACCACTCACTCACCACTCACCACTCACCACTCACTCACCACTAGCTCACCACTCACCACTCACTCACCACTCACTCACCACTAGCTCACCACTCACTCACCACTCACTCACTCACCACTCACTCACCACTCACTCACTCACCACTCACTCACTCACCACTCACTCACCACTCACTCACTCACTCACCACACTCACCACTCACTCACCACTCACTCACTCACCACTCACTCACCACTCACTCACCACTCACCACTCACTCACCACTCACTCACCACTCACCACTAGCTCACCACTCACTCACCACTCACTCACCACTCACCACTAGCTCACCACTCACTCACCACTCACTCACTCACCACTCACCACTCACTCACCACTCACTCACCACTCACTCACCACTCACCACTCACTCACCACTCACCACTCACTCACCACTCACCACTCATCAACTCACTCACCACTCACTACTCACCACTCACTCACCACTCACTCACCACTCACTCACTCACTCACCACTCACTCACCACTCGCTCACCACTCACTCACTCACTCACCACTCACTCACCACTCACTCACCACTCACTCACTCACCACTCACTCACCACTCACTCACCACTCACCACTCGCTCACCACTCACTCACCACTCACTCACCACTCGCTCACCACTCACTCATCAACTCACTCACTCACTCACCACTCACCACTCGCTCACCACTCACTCACCACTCACTCACTCATAAACTCACTCACTCACCACTCACTCACTCACTCATAAACTCACTCACTCACTCACCACTCACTCACTCACTCATAAACTCACTCGCCACTCACTCGCTCACTCACTCATAAACTCACTCACCACTCACTCACTCACCACTCACTCACCACTCACTCACCACTCACTCACTCACCACTCGCTCACTCACCACTCACTCACTCACCACTCGCTCACTCACCACTCACTCACCACTCACTCACCACTTGCTCACCACTCGCTCACTCGCTCACCACTCGCTCATCACTCGCTCACCGCTCGCTCACCACTTACCCACTCATTCACCCACTCACTCCCCCACTCACTCGCCCACTCACTTGCCTACTCACTTGCCCACTCACTCACCCGTTCACCCACTCGCTCTCTCATCCACTCATTCACCCACCCACTTGCCGACTCACCCACTCATGCACCCGTTCACTCGCCCGCCCACTCACTCGCTCACTCACCCGCTCACTCACCACTCACTCACCACTCACCCACTCATTCACCCACTCACCCGCTCACTCACCCGCTCACTCACCCGCTCACTCACCACTCACTCACCACTCACCCACTCATTCACCCACTCACCCGCTCACTCACCCGCTCACTCACCCGCTCATTAACCACTCACTCACCACTCACCCACTCATTCACCCACTCACCCGCTCTTTCACCCGCTCACTCACCACTCACCCGTTCACTCACCACTCACTCACCACTCACCAGCGCCGGCCTTCTTAGGCGCGGCTGCCGCTGCTGTTCCCCGCGAACAGCGCTTTTGGTGGTGGAGGGGGGTTGTGCCATCTTTGTCCCCCGGTGTGTTTGCGTGCGTCTCAAGGTGGGAGCCCACACGTCCTGCTCCTCGCGTTTGTCCAAGAGCCACAGCCTCATGTCCCTGAGGGCTCCTGCATCCGGCCCCTCGCCACGCAGACACAGCCTCATGCAGACCTCCGCCGCCATCAACGCCGCCACCACCACGGCCGTTACCGACAGCCCTGCCCACGACGTGAACTGCACCTCCGGTACCTCCGCCGCTACCTCCTCCTCCGCCTCCGCCGGTAGCGGCGGCGGAGGAGGTGGCGGAGGAGGTAGCGGAGGCGGTGGCGGTGGTGGCTCTACCGACGCCGCCAGCCACCGCAGCCAGACGTCCGTGGAAGGGAGGTCGAGGCAGGGGAGGTCCAGGCACGTGCGTTCGCGATCGGACACGGTCGTGGCCGGTGAGTCACGGGGTCGGACGTCACCTCGCCGGTGTGGGAAGGGGGGAGCCCCGGGTTCGAGTCCCGGCTCGGGTTTGCCTCTGCGAGTGTGTGTGTGTGTGCGTGGGTGTGTGTGTGCGAGTGTGCGCGTGTGCGAGTGTGTGTGCGAGTGTGTGTGCGAGTGTGCGTGTGTGAGTGTGTGTGTGCGAGTGTGCGAGTGTGCGAGTGTGTGTGTGCGAGTGTGCGAGTGTGCGTGTGTGTGAGTGTGTGTGCGAGTGTGTGTGTGTGCGAGTGTGTGTGTGTGTACTCAGCCCCTGTTTTGCAGTGAGCGTGGGTGAGTGTGGGTGAGTGAGGGTGAGTGTGTGAGGGCGAGTGAGGGTGAGTGAATGAGGGTGAGTGAGAGAGGGTGAGTGAGGGTGAGTGAGAGTGAGTGAGTGAGTGTGAGTGAGTGAGGGTGAGTGAGAGTATGAGAGTGAGTGAGTGAGGGTGAGTGAGTAAGGGTGAGTGATAGTGTGAGAGTGAGTGAGTGAGTGTTGAGTGAGTGAGTGTTGAGTGAGTGAGTGTTGAGTGAGAGTGAGTGAGGGTGAGTGGGTGAGGGTGAGTGGGTGAGTGGGTGAGTGAGAGTGAGTGAGTGAGGGTGACTGAGTGAGTGTGAGTAAGGGTGAGTAAGTGAGTGTTGAGTGAATGAGTGTTGAGTGAGTGAGGGTGAGTGAGTGAGTGAGAGTGAGTGAGAGTGTGAGAGTGAGTGAGGGAGGGTGAGTGTGTGAGAGTGAGGGAGGGTGAGTGAGTGTTGAGTGTGTGAGTGAGTGAGTGTGAGTGAGTGAGGGTAAGTGAGTGAGGGTGAGTGAGTGAGTGAGTGTGAGTGCGTGAGTGTGAGTGGGTGAGGGTGAGTGAGTGTTGAGTGAGTGAGTGAGGATGAGTGAGTGAGTGTGTGAGTGAGTGAGTGAGGGTGAGTGGGTGAGGGTGAGTGGGTGAGTGAGAGTGAGTGAGTGAGGGTGACTGAGTGAGTGTGAGTAAGGGTGAGTAAGTGAGTGTTGAGTGAGTGAGTGTTGAGTGAGTGAGGGTAAGTGAGTGAGTGAGAGTGAGTGAGTGAGTAGGTGCTCGCTAACAGCACTTGCCCCTACAGTCTGTTAAGGCTATATGGGGGATCTTTGTCTTTGTCTTTTGTGAGTGGGTGAGGGTGAGTGGGTGAGGGTGAGTGAGTGTTGAGTGAGTGAGTGAGGATGAGTGAGTGAGTGTGAGTGAGTGAGGGTGAGTGAGTGAGTGAGTGTGTGAGTGAGTGAGTGAGTGTTGAGTGAGTGAGTGATTGTTGAGTGAGTGTTGAGTGAGTGAGTGTGAGTGAGTGAGTGTTGAGTGAGTGAGCGTGAGTGAGTGAAGGTGAGTGAGTGTGTGTTGAGTGAGTGAGTGTTGAGTGAGTGAGTGAGGGTGTGTGAGAGTGAGTGAGTGAGGGTGAGTGAGTGAGTGTTGAGTGAGTGAGTGAGAGTGTGAGAGTGAGTGAGGGTGAGTGAGTGAGAGTGAGTGTGAGAGTGAGTGTGTGAGAGTGAGTGAGTGAGGGTGAGTGAGCGAGTGAGTGTTGAGTGAGTGAGTGCTGAGTGAGTGAGAGTGAGTGAGTGTTGAGTGAGTGAGAGTGAGTGAGTGAGAGTGAGTATTGAGTGTGTGAGTGAGTGAGGGTAAGTGAGTGAGGGTGAGTGAGTGAGTGTTGAGTGAGTGAGTGTGAGTGAGTGAGGGTGAGTGAGTGAGTGAGTGTTGAGTGAGTGTTGAGTGTGTGAGTGAGTGAGTGTGAGTGAGTGAGGGTAAGTGAGTGAGTGAGAGTGAGTAAGTGAGTAGGTGCTCGCTAACAGCACTTGCCCCTACAGTCTGTTAAGGCTATACGGGGGATCTTTGTCTTTGTCTTTTGTGAGTGGGTGAGGGTGAGTGGGTGAGGGTGAGTGAGTGTTGAGTGAGTGAGTGAGGATGAGTGAGTGAGTGTGAGTGAGTGAGGGTGAGTGAGTGAGTGAGTGTGTGAGTGAGTGAGTGAGTGTTGAGTGAGTGAGTGATTGTTGAGTGAGTGTTGAGTGAGTGAGTGTGAGTGAGTGAGTGTTGAGTGAGTGAGCGTGAGTGAGTGAAGGTGAGTGAGTGAGTGTTGAGTGAGTGAGTGTTGAGTGAGTGAGTGAGGGTGTGTGAGAGTGAGTGAGTGAGGGTGAGTGAGTGAGTGAGTGTTGAGTGAGTGAGTGAGAGTGTGAGAGTGAGTGAGGGTGAGTGAGTGAGAGTGAGTGTGAGAGTGAGTGTGTGAGAGTGAGTGAGTGAGGGTGAGTGAGCGAGTGAGTGTTGAGTGAGTGAGTGCTGAGTGAGTGCTGAGTGAGTGAGAGTGAGTGAGTGTTGAGTGAGTGAGAGTGAGTGAGTGAGAGTGAGTATTGAGTGTGTGAGTGAGTGAGGGTAAGTGAGTGAGGGTGAGTGAGTGAGTGTTGAGTGAGTGAGTGTGAGTGAGTGAGGGTGAGTGAGTGAGTGTTGAGTGAGTGTTGAGTGAGTGTGAGTGAGTGAGGGTGAGTGAGTGAGTGTGAGTGAATGAGTGAGTGTGAGTGAGTGAGTGAGGGTGAGTGATTGAGTGTGAGTGAGAGTGAGTGAGTGTGAGTGAGAGTGAGTGAGTGTGAGTGAGTGAGTGAGTGTGAGTGAGTGAGTGTGAGTGAGTGAGGGTGAGTGAGTGAGGGTGAGTGAGTGTGTGTGAGTGAGTGTGTGTGTGTGAGTGAGTGAGTGTGAGTGAGTGTAAGGAGGTCGGGCTTGGAGCTGGCCACCGTGCCGGCCTTCATAGGTGGTGGTCTTTGTCATGCATGGGATGATGATGCTGATGCTGATGATGATCCTGGCGATGATGGTAATGATGTTGATGATGATGATGATAGTGGATGATGTGGATTATGCTGATGATGCTGATGGTGATGATGATGCTGATGGTGATGATGATGATGCTGATGGTCATGATGATGATGCTGATGGTGATGATGATGCTGATAGTGATGATGATGATGCCGGCGATGATGGTGAAGATGATGGCGAAGATGATGGTGATGTTGATGGTGATGATGCTGATAGTGATGATGATGATGCTGATAGTGATGATGATGATGCCGGCGATGATGGTGAAGATGATGGCGAAGATGATGGCGAAGACGATGGTGATGTTGATGGTGATGATGATGGTGATGTTGACAGTGGTGAAGCCGCCATTGGACCGCACTCACGAGCTCCTGGACATCCTCGCCGCACAGCATCATGGGAGCTGCGCCGACCTCGACAAGGTGAGGTCTGGCGGCGATGGCGGTGGCGGTGGTGGTGGCGGTGGTGGTGGTGGTGGTGGCGGCGGTGGTGGTAGCGGTGGTGGTGGTGGTGGTGGCGACGATGGCGGCGGTGGCGATGGCGGCGGTGGCGGTGGTGGTGGCGGCGGTGGTGGTGGTGGTGGTGGCGGTGGTGGTGGTGGTGGCGGTGGTGGTGGTGGTGGTGGCGGTGGTGGTGGTGGCGGTGGTGGCGGTGGCGGTGGTGGTGGTGGCGGTGGTGGTGGTGGTGGCGGTGGTGGTGGTGGTGGTGGCGATGGCGGTGGCGGTGGCGGCGGTGGTGGTGGTGGTGGTGGTGGCGGTGGCGGTGGTGGTGGCGGTGGTGGCGGTGGCGGTGGTGGCGATGGCGGTGGTGGTGGCGGTGGTGGTGGCGGTGGTGGTGGTGGCGGTGGTGGCGGTGGTGGCGATGGCGGCGGTGACGGTGGTGGTGGGGAGCGGTGGGTGTAGTGGTTAGCGCTACGCTGCGCTACGAATCCGGCCACCCTGGTTCGACTCCCGCTCACGGCCACCAACACCACCGGTGACGATTATCTGAAACGGTCCTGGGCCTCCCCTAGGTCTACTCAGCCTCAAACGAGCACCTGGTGCGGTGGGCAGTAAACGTCGCCACTGGGGAGACAAAGGCGGCCGGGCGTGGTGTTGGCTACCCCACCCCCCCGTGTGCTGTGCCGGCCCTCGTAGGTGCTCGCTTAACAGCACTTGCCCCAACGATCTGTTAAGGCTACACGGGGGATCTTTGTCTTTGCATTGGCTACAAACGCCACGGGGTGGGGGCGGGGGGGCGGGGGGGAAAGCCGCGTGGAATTTTCCGTTCCCACCATCGCATCGCTCGCATCCACCACAGCGGCTACCGTCCGGCACCGCCGAGGATGTGGGGGCGGGGGGGGGGGGGAGGGGTTTGCCGGGAAAGGTCTTGGCAAGGATTATTCAACATCGCCTCGCCAGGCACGCTGAGGAGAGGCTTGCGGAGCCCCAATGCGGTTTCAGGAAAGGGCGGTCCTGCACAGATGCTATTTTTTTTTTATGTCCGTCTGCTACAGCAGAGGTGTGGGGAATTCCAACAGGACCTACATCTCTGCTTTATTGACCTGGTCAAGGCCTATGATACCATCAGTAGGCCTGGGCTCTGGGTTGTTCTTCGTGCTCTCGGAATCCCTGACCCTCTGCTCACGATCATTAAGGACCTTCATGATGGTGAGCGGGCCCGGGTAAAACTACGTGGCCGGGAGTCAGAGCCATTCCCTGTACACCTTCCAAGGCTGGAATCTTCATCTGGTACAGATATAATGGGAGGCTGATCGATACCGGGGTGCGGTCAAGGGATGGCTTCCTATTGGTCAACTACGTTACATATGCCGATGATCTGGTAATTGCTGCTCACTCAGAGGAGGAGTTGGAGACGCTGCTGCTGAACCTGGAGCTTGCCACTAAGAGGTGGAGCCTTACCATCAGCCCCACCAAAAATAAGCACCTGCCTGGGTATTTTGTGCCATCGGACACTCCACCCCCACAACTCCCAATCGGTGATGGGGCAGTTGTGGAGAGAGTGGAGAGTTTCCCAAACCTGGGCATTGTGCTTATGATCAGCTCTGCTTTGACAGCAGAGGTCTCACTCCAAATCATTCGAGCAGCAATATCTTTTCATCGGATGCGTAACGCTGTATGGAAGCTACCTGGTCTGTCGCTCCGCACTAAGCTTCAGGTCTTCTCAGCCACGGTCATGCCCTCCCTTCTCTACGCTTGCGAAACGTGGACCCCCCTAATGGAACATCTTCGCCAGTTAGAAACATTTAGGGTAGCCTGTCTACGATCCATCCTGGGTTTAACCAGGCTGGATTGTGTGAGGAGCTCACAAATCCTTGAAAGATCTGGGCACGGTCCCATCGGTCAGCTCCTCCGGCAGGTAAGGCTGCGATGGCTGGGTCATGTAGCCCGCATGCCCAGCCACCGCATGCCGAAACAGCTTTTGTTTGGCCAGATCGAGGGGGTTAAACAGGTGCGGCACGGGCTAGAGAGGAGATGGAGTGATGTGGTACAGAAGGACGTGGAGCTGAGTGGACTTGCCGATGACTGGTACCAGCGGTGTCAAGATCGGCCTCTGTGGAGGAGGCTCGTGAAGGACGCTACTGGGCAGTTGGAGGCAGTCGCCCTCCAACAACAACGGAGGGCGGAGGAGCGGCGCTCACAACAACGAGCGGAGCGCCGGGTGGCTAAAGCACAGCAAGTTGGCACAGTAGGGGGCACAGGTGGTGCATCGGCCAGTCATCTCAGTCATCTCAGTCAGTCGACCCGTGGCACCTGGGTCTGCCCCGTGACCTCCTGCCAGCGGGCGTTCGACACTTCACGTGGCCTCAAGGTGCACATAGCCTGGCACAAGCGTCGTGGTGACGTCACCGCCACTTAGTGGCGAGTGGCGGTTGTTGTTGGTGTTGTTGTTGTTGTGTTGTTGTGTTGTTGTTGTGTTGTTGTTGGTGTTGTGTTGTTGTTGTGGTTGTTGTGTTGTTGTTGTGTTGTTGTGTTGTTGTTGTGTTGTTGTTGTGGTTGTTTTGTTGTTGTGTTGTTGTTGTGTTGTTGTGTTGTTGGTGTTGTGTTGTTGTTGTGTTGTTGGTGTTGTGTTGTTGTGTTGTTGTTGTTGGTGTTGTGTTGTTGTTGTGTTGTTGGTGTTGTGTTGTTGTTGTGTTGTTGTTGTTGTGTTGTTGTGTTGTTGGTGTTGTTGTTGGTGGTGTTGTTGTTGTGTTGTTGTTGTGTTGTTGTTGTGTTGTTGTTGTGTTGTTGTTGTGTTGTTGTTGTGTTGTTGTTGGTGGTGGCGGTGGTGGCGATGGTCTTGCGTGATGCCATCACCCGTGCCCTCTCTCCCCCCCAGGAGAACGCCCACTTCTCACTGTCTGATGCCCTCATGACCGTGATCGAACTCATCAAGTGCAGCTCGGCGGAGGACGACGAGGGGCTGGGGCGCACGGGGGAGGTGGACGGCTACGATGACGAGGAGGAGGAGGAGGACGAGGAGGAGGAGGACGACGAGGAGGAGGAGGAGGACGATGAGGAGGAAGAGGTTGTGGATGGGCTGGACGCTCATTCAAATGCAAGTGAGTGTCATCGTCATCAGTCTCATCAGTGTCATCAGTGTCATCAGCATCGTCATCATCATCAGCTTCATCAGTGTCATCAGCTTCATCATCGTCATCAGCATCGTCATCGTCATCACCTTCATCAGTGTCATCAGTGTCATCAGCATCGTCATCGTCATCATCATCACCTTCATCAGTGTCATCAGTCTCATCAGTGTCATCATCATCGTCATCATCATCACCTTCATCAGTGTCATCAGTGTCATCAGCATCGTCATCAGCATCGTCATCGTCATCACCTTCATCAGTGTCATCAGCATCGTCATCAGCTTCATCAGTGTCGTCAGCATCGTCATCATCATCACCTTCATCAGTGTCATCAGTGTCATCAGCATCGTCATCAGCATCGTCATCGTCATCACCTTCATCAGTGTCATCAGCATCGTCATCATCATCAGCTTCATCAGTGTCATCAGTGTCATCATCGTCATCAGCATCGTCATCACCTTCATCAGTGTCATCAGTGTTATCATCGTCATCAGCTTCATCAGTGTCATCAGTGTTATCATCGTCATCAGCTTCATCAGTGTCATCAGTGTTATCATCGTCATCAGCTTCATCAGTGTCATCAGCTTCATCATCGTCATCAGTGTCATCAGCTTCATCATCGTCATTGTCATCAGTGTCATCAGTGTCATCATCATCACCTTCATCAGTGTCATCGTCATCGTCATCACCTTCATCATCGTCATCGTCATCACCTTCATCAGTGTCATCAGTGTCATCAGTGTCATCATCGTCATCAGTGTCAGCAGTGTCATCGTCATCAGTGTCATCATCATCGTCATCATCATCATCACCTTCTTCAGAGTCATCGTCATCACCTTCATCAGTGTCATCGTCATCGTCATCACCTTCATCAGTGTCATCAGCATCGTCATCGTCATCACCTTCATCAGTGTCATCAGCATCGTCATCAGTGTCATCAGTGTCATCGTCATCACCTTCATCAGTGCCATCAGTGTCATCATCGTCATCACCTTCATCAGTGTCATCAGCATCGTCATCGTCATCACCTTCATCAGTGTCATCATCGTCATCACCTTCATCAGTGTCATCAGCTTCATCAGTGTCATCAGCATCGTCATCGTCATCAGCTTCATCATCGTCATCAGCTTCATCATCATCATCAGCTTCATCATCGTCATCAGCATCGTCATCGTCATCAGCTTCATCATCGTCATCAGCATCGTCATCATCGTCATCAGCTTCATCATCATCATCATCAGCTTCATCATCGTCATCAGCTTCATCATCGTCATCAGTGTCATCAGCTTCATCATCATCATCAGCTTCATCGTCATCAGCTTCATCATCGTCATCAGTGTCATCAGCTTCATCAGTGTCATCAGTGTCATCATCGTCATCAGCTTCATCATCGTCATCAGTGTCATCAGCATCGTCATCAGCATCGTCATTAGCTTCATCGCCATCACCAGCGTCATCAGCATCGTCATCAGTGTCATCAGCATCGTCATCAGTGTCATCAGCATCATCATCAGCATCATTGTCATCGTCATCAGCAGCCGCCGTCACCAGCGGCAGCGTTGTCAGCAGCAGAAGTAGCAGCATCAACACGGCAGCGGTGACACGCGTGTGTGTCACGTGTGTGTGTCACGTGTGTCTCACGTGTGTGTCACGTGTGTGTCACGTGTGTGTCACGTGTGTGTCACGTGCCACGTGTGTGTGTCACGTGTGTGTCACGTGCCACGTGTGTGTCACGTGTGTGCCACGTGTGTGTCACGTGTGTGCCACGTGTGTGTGTCACGTGTGTGCCACGTGTGTGCCACGTGTGTGTCACGTGTGTGCCACGCGTGTCGTTTTGAGCAGGCCCACGGAGTCGCATGATGTCAGGACCCGACCTCTTGGCTATGTGAGTACTGAACATCGCCATCACCGCCATCATCACCATCATCATCGCCATCACCGCCATCACCGCCATCATCAGCATCACCATCATCATCGCCATCACCGTCATCACACCGCCATCATCGCCATCATCGCCATCATCGCCATCATCACTAGCATCACCATCATCATCGCCATCACCGCCATCATCGCCATCATCATCGCCATCACCAGCATCACCATCATCATCACTAGCATCACCGCCATCATCGCCATCATCGCCATCATCGCCATACCTAGCATCACCATCATCACCGCCATCATCGCCATCACCAGCATCATCGCCATCACCGCCATCACACCGCCATCACCAGCATCATCGCCATCATCGCCATCATCGCCGTCACCGCCATCATCGCCATCACCAGCATCATCGCCATCATCGCCATCACCAGCATCATCGCCATCATCGCCATCACCGCCATCATCGCCATCACCGCCATCATCGCCATCACCGCCATCATCGCCATCACCAGCATCATCGCCATCATCGCCATCACCGCCATCATCGCCATCACCAGCATCACCATCATCATCGCCATCATCGCCATCACCGCCATCATCGCCATCACCAGCATCACCATCATCATCGCCATCACCGCCATCATCGCCATCACCGGCATCACCAGCATCACACCGCCATCACACCGCCATCATCGCCATCACTAGCATCACCGCCATCACCGCCATCATCGCCGTCACCGCCATCACCAGCATCATCGCCATCATCGCCATCACCGCCATCATCGCCATCGCCGCCATCACCGCCATCACCATCATCACCGCCATCATCACCATCACCGCCATCATCGCCATTGCCGCCATCATCGCCATCACCGCCATCACTGCCATCATCACCATCACCGCCATCACCAGCATCATCGCCATCAGCACTGTTATTAGCACCACGGTCACCATCATCGCCAGCACCATCACCACCACCATCATTGCCATCACCACCACCATCATCATCACCACCACCATCATCGTCACCACCACCATCATCGCCACCACCAACCACCACCATCATCGTCACCACCACCATCATCGCCACCACCACCATCATCGCCACCACCAACCACCACCATCATTGCCACCACCACCATCATCGTCACCACCACCATCATCGCCACCACCAACCACCACCATCATCGCCACCACCACCATCATCATCGCCACCACCACCACCACCATCATCGCCACCACCAACCACCACCATCATCGCCACCACCAACCACCACCATCATCGCCACCACCACCATCACCATCATCGCCACCACCACCACCACCATCATCGCCACCACCACCACCACCATCATCGCCACCACCAACCACCACCATCATCGCCACCACCACCATCACCATCATCGCCACCACCACCACCATCATCGCCACCACCACCACCACCACCATCATCGCCACCACCACCACCACCATCATCGCCACCACCACCACCACCAACCACCACCATCATCGCCACCACCACCACCACCATCATCGCCACCACCAACCACCACCATCATTGCCACCACCACCATCATCGTCACCACCACCATCATCGCCACCACCAACCACCACCATCATCGCCACCACCACCATCATCATCGCCACCACCACCACCACCATCATCGCCACCACCAACCACCACCATCATCGCCACCACCAACCACCACCATCATCGCCACCACCACCATCACCATCATCGCCACCACCACCACCACCACCATCATCGCCACCACCACCACCACCATCATCGCCACCACCAACCACCACCATCATCGCCACCACCACCATCACCATCATCGCCACCACCACCATCACCATCATCGCCAACACCACCACCATCATCGCCACCACCACCACCACCACCATCATCGCCACCACCACCACCACCACCATCATCGCCACCACCACCACCACCACCAACCACCACCATCATCGCCACCACCACCACCACCACCATCATCGCCACCACCACCACCACCATCATTGCCACCACCAACCACCACCATCATCGCCACCACCACCACCATCATCGCCACCACCACCAACCACCACCACCATCGTCTTTTCGGAGAAGGAAACTGCACGCCCGGTCTGCTGCCTATAGAGGGGGGGGGTGGTGATGATTGCTGCTGCTGTGTGGTCTAGCCTAGGGGCACCCCCAGTGGCAGCTGTCCCTGTGCATCAGTCTGCTGTCAGTAGTAGGGGTGGTGATGATTGCTGCTGCTGTGTGGTCTAGCCTAGGGGCACCCCCAGTGACAGCTGTCCCTGTGCATCAGTCTGACAGTAGTAGGGGTGGTGATGGTTGTTGCTGCTGTGTGGTCTAGCCTAGGGGCACCCCCAGCGGCAGCTGTCTCTGTGCATCAGTCTGTCAGTAGTAGGGGTGGTGATGATTGTTGCTGCTGTGTGGTCTAGCCTAGGGGCACCCCCAGCGGCATCTGTCCCTGTGCATCAGTCTGTCAGTAGTAGGGGTGGTGATGATTGACTGCTGTGTGGTCTAGTCTAGGGGCACCCCCAGCGGCAGCTGTCCCTGTGCATCAGTCTGTCAGTAGTAGTGGGTGGTGATGATTGACTGCTGTGTGTGGGGTCTAGCCTAGGGGCACCCCCAGCGGCAGCTGTCCCTGTGCATCGGTCTATCAGTAGTAGGGGTGGTGATGATTGTTGCTGTGTGGCTCTAGCCTAGGGGCACCCCCAGTGGCATCTGTCCCTGTGCATCAGTCTGTCAGTAGTAGTGGGTGGTGGTGATTGACTGCTGCTGTGTGTGGGGTCTAGCCTAGGGGCACCCCCAGCGGCAGCTGTCCCTGTGCATCGGTGCACTCGTGCCCAGCGCTTGCCTCCCCTCTGCCTCGGTTGCCCCCAGGCTGCCGCTCCCTTGCAGCCGGGGCTCGGCCAGGGCCGTTGCGACGCAGCTGCTGAGACACCTCCAGAGGCTGCGGCTTCCCGGCGCCACGGCCGACCGCATCGGGCACGCACTGCTGGGGCAGCAGGTGACGGGGCTCGCCTGGACAACGCTCGCTCGCTCGCTCACGCACTCACTCTCGCTCGCACGCTCACTCATGCACACTCTCGCTCGCTCGCTCGCTCACGCACTCACTCACCCTCTCGCTCACTCACTCGCTCTCGCTCACACGCTCACTCACTCGCTCGCTCACTCACTCACTCTCACTCACTCGCTCGCTCACTCACTCACTCACTCACTCTCGCTCGCTCGCTCGCTCACTCACTCACTCACTCTCACTCGCTCACTCACTCGCTCACTCACGCACACACTCACTCTCGCTCGCTCACTCACTCGCTCGCTCACTCACTCACTCTCGCTCACACGCTCACTCACTCGCTCGCCCGCCCGCTCACTCACTCACTCACTCGCTCGCACACTCACTCTCGCTCGCTCACTCGCTCACTCACTCGCCCGCCCGCACGCTCCGCTCACACGCACGCTCACTCACTCACACACTCACTCACTCACTCACACACTCACGCACTCGCTCACTCACTCGCACACTCACTCACTCACTCACTCTCGCTCGCTCACTCACTCACTTACTCACACACTCACACACTCGCTCACTCACTCGCACACTCAATCTCACTCGCTCTCACTCGCTCACGCTCACTCACACACTCGCACACTTGCTCACTCACACACTCACACACTCACACACTCGCTCACTTACACATTCTCACTCACACACTCGCTCACTCACTCGCACACTCACTCACTCACTCGCTCACTCACTCGCATACTCACTCGCTCACTCACTCTCACTCGCTCACTCACTCACTGTCGCTCACTTACTCATACACTCACTCGCTCACGCTCGCTCACTCACTCGTTCACTTACTCACGCTCGCTCACTCACTCGTTCACTCACTCTCACACTCGCACACTCTCACTCGCTCACTCACACACTCACTCACTCACTCGCTCACTCACTCGCACACTCACTCGCTCACTCACTCACTCACTGTCGCTCACTCACTCACTCACTCTCGCTCACTCACACACTCACACACTCGCTCACTCGCACACTCATTCGCTCACTCACACTCACTCACACACTCACACACTCGCACACTCGCACACTCACTATCACTCACTCACTCTCACACTCACTCTCGGTCGCTCACTCACTCATTCTCGCTCGCTCACTCACTGGGTCACTCACTCGCACACTCTCACACTCACTCTCACTCGCTCACTCTCGCTCGCTCGCTCACTCTCACTCACTCACACTCATCACACTCACTCACTCACCCTCACTCACTCACACTCACTCACTCAACACTCACTCACTCTCACTCGCTCACTCTCACACTCTCACACGCACTCATTCACTCTCGCTCGCTCACTCACTCACTCTCGCTCGCTCATTCACTCGCTCACTCACTCTCGCTCGCTCACTCATTCTCGCTCGCTCACTCTCGCTCGCTCACTCACTCGCACACTCTCACACTCACTCTCGCTCGCTCACTCACTCACTCGCTCACTCACTCTCGCTCGCTCACTCACTGGCTCACTCATTCGCACACTCACTCTCACACTCTCACACTCACTCACTCACTCACTCTCGCTCACTCACTCACTCTCGCTCACCACTCACTCACTCTTGCTTGCTCGCTCGCTCACTCACTCTCGCACACTCACTCGCACATTCACTCACACACTCACACACTCACACACTCACTCACACACTCACTCACTCGCTCAAACTCAATCACTCTCGCTCGCTCACTAACTCACTCGCACACTCACTCTCACTCGCTCACTCACTTGCTCACTCACACACATGCCCACTCACTCGCACGCTCATTCACACACTCACTCACACACTCGCTCGCACACTCACTCACTCACTCACACAATCACGCACACACTCACTCACCCACGCACACACTCACTCAATCACTAACTCAATCACACACTCACCCACACACTCACTCACACACTCACTCACTCACACACTCACTCACCCACGCACTCACTCACTCACTCACCCACGCACACACTCACTCACTCACACAATCACGCACACACTCACTCAATCACTCACTCACTCACTCACCCACGCACACACTCACTCAATCACTCACTCAATCACACACTCACCCACACACTCACTCACTCACACACTCACTCACTCACTCACACACTCACCCACGCACACACGCACTCACTCACTCACACACTCACCCACGCACACACTCAATCACACACTCACTCACCCACACACTCACTCACTCACTCACCCACGCACACACTCACTCACACACTCACCCACGCACACACTCACTCAATCAATCACTCACACACTCACTCACTCACCCACGCACACACTCAATCACACACTCACTCACCCACGCACACAATCACTCACACACTCACCCACGCACACACTCACACACTCACACACTCACCCACACACTCACTCACACACTCACCCACGCACACACTCACTCACTCACACACTCACACACTCACTCACACACTCACCCACGCACTCACTCACTCACACACTCACTCACACACTCACACACTCACTCACTCACACACTCACTCACACACTCACCCACTCACCCACCCACTCACACACTCACACACTCACACACTCACTCACTCACCCACGCACTCACACACTCACTCACACACTCACTCACTCACCCACTCACACACTCACTCACTCACCCACGCACTCACACACTCACACACTCACTCACACACTCACCCACTCACCCACTCACCCACCCACTCACACACCCACCCCCTCACACACTCACCCACGCACACACTCACCCACGCACACACTCACTCACACACTCACCCTTTCACACACTCACACACTCACTCACACACTCACCCACTCACCCACCCACTCACACACTCACCCACGCACACACTCACTCACACACTCACTCACACACTCACACACTCACCCACTCACACACTCACCCACTCACTCACACACTCACACACTCACCCACCCACTCACTCACACACTCACTCACTCACACACTCACACACGCACACACAACTTTTCGCTGACCCACTCACTTTTGTACCTCGCTGCACATCTGTGACAAAGAGCCTCACAGCTCATCAGATTCCTCCGTTCGGTCTACGTCAACATTCTGACTCTGGCTTGCTGGCCCACAGCCTGTTAGAGTCTACACGGGGGACCTTTGTCTGTGTCTACCTTCACAGGTGCTGCTCGCTAACAGCACTTGCCCCTACAGCCTGTTAGAGGCTACACGGGGGACCTTTGTCTGTGTCTACCTTCACAGGTGCTGCTGATACTTGCTACTCACAGCCCTTGCCCCTACAGCCTGTTAGAGGCTACACGGGGGACCTTTATTTGTGTCTACCTTCACAGGTGCTGCTACTCGCTACTCACAGCACTTGCCCCTACAGCCTGTTAGAGGCTACACGGGGGACCTTTGTCTGTGTCTACCTTCACAGGCGCTGCTGCTACTCGCTACTAACAGCACTTGCCCCTGCAGCCTGTTAGAGGCTACACGGGGGACCTTTGTCTGTGTCTACCTTCACAGGTGCTTCTGCTACTCGCTACTCACAGCACTTGCCCCTACAGCCTGTTAGAGGTTACACGGGGGACCTTTGTCTGTGTCTCAAGGCCTTGTGTCTGGGCTCCACGTCTGCGGATGAGCATGGGGAGAGCGGAGGGTGGAAGCCGCCTCCACCACAGATCATCTTCCACATGCACCCCAAACTCTCGTAGGTGGACACACACACGTACACACACATACACACACGTACACATACACATACACACACGTACACACACACATACACACATACACACACTTACACACATACACACGTACACACACACATACACACACACACACTTACACACACACACGTACACACACACATACACACATACACACGTACACACACGTACACACACGTACACACACACACGCACATACACACATGTACACACACACATATACACACGTACACACACATACACACACGTACACACACATACATACACACACACACACATACACACTTACACACACATACACACGTACACACACACATACACACACATACACACACACATACACACACATACACACACATACACACGTACACACACACGCACATACACACACACATACACACATACACACACATACACACATACAGACACTTACACATACACACATACAGACACTTACACACATACACACGTACACACACACATACACACATACACACTTACACACACTTACACACACACACGTACACACACACACGTACACACGTACACACACACATACACACATACACACACATACACACACATACACACACACACATACACACACACATACACACACGTACACACATACACACACGTACACACATACACACACGTACACACATACACACACTTACACACATACACACACTTACACACACACACATACACACACACACGTACACACACACACATACACACATACACACTTACACACACATACACACACATACACACACATACACACGTACACACACGTACACACACATACACACGTACACACACACACATACACACGTACACACACATACACACACACATACACACACACACTTACACACACATACACACATACACACACATACACACACATACACACACACGCACATACACACACACATACACACATACACACACATACACACATACAGACACTTACACATACACACATACAGACACTTACACACACACATACACACGTACACACACACATACACACACACGCACATACACACACACACATAGACACTTACACACACGTACACACGTGCACACACACATACACACACGCACACATACACAAAGACAAAGATAAATATATCCCATATAGCCTTAACAGACTGTCGGGGCAAGTGCTGTTAGCGAGCACCTATGAAGGCCGGTAACGGTACACGAGGGGTGGGTGGCCAGCACCACGCCCGACCGCCTTTGTCTCCCTAGTGGCAATGTTTACACACTGCACCAGGTACTCATTTGAGGTTGAGTCGACCTAGGTGAGGCCCAGGACCGGTTAAGATAATCGTCACTGGTGTTGGCCGTGAGCGGGAATCGAACCCGTGTCGCCGGGTTCATAGCGCAGCGCGCTAACCGCTCCACTATCGCTCCCCACACTTACGTACACACACATATACACACTCACACGTACGTAAACACTCACACGTACGTACACATACACACGTACGTACACACACGTACACACAAACACGTACATACACACACGTACACACAAACACGTACATACACACACGTACACACTCACACGTACGTACACACACGTACGTACACACTCACAAGTACGTACACACGGACGTACGTACACACACATATACACACTCACACGTACGTAAACACACGTATGTACACACTTACACGTACGTACACACACACAAGTACCTACACACACATATACACACTCACACGCACGTACACACACGTACGTACCACACACGTACGTACACACACGTACACACTCACACGTACTTACACACTCACACGTACGTACACACTCACACGTACGTACACACACACGTACGCACACACACACACTCACACGTACGTACACACACATATACACACTCACACGTACGTACACACGTACACACATTCACACTCACACGCACGTACACACACACACGTACACACATATACACACTCACACGTACGTACACACACACACACACGTACGTACACACACGTACGTACACACACACGTACACATACACACTCACGTACGTTCACATTCACACGTACGTACACATTCACACGTACGTACACATTCACACGTACGTACACACGGACATACACACGCTCACACGTACGTACACACACGGACGTACACACACTCACACGTACGTACACACACGGATGTACGTGTACACACACACACGTACGTACACACGTACGTACACACGTACGTACACCCTCACCCGTACGTACACACACGGACGTACACACACTCACACGTACGTACACACACGGATGTACGTGTACACACACGTACGTACACACACGTTCGTACACATACACGTACGTACACACACGTACGTACACACACGTACACCCTCACACGTACGTATGTACACACACGGACGTACGTGTACACACACACACACACGTACGTACACACACACACGTACACGTACGTACACACACGGACGTACACACACTCACACGTACGTACACACACGGACGTACGTATACACACACACACGTACACGTACACACACGGACGTACGTGTACACACACACACGTACGTATACACACACACACGTACACGTACACACACGGACGTACGTGTACACACACACACACGCACGGGGCGTCTTTGTTTGCGTGTCTCTGGATAGGAAGAAGGAAATCCTCACGAGTCAGAATTACCGCTGTGCAGGATGCGGCCGCAGCGTGGAGCCCGGTGAGTGAATGCGTGCACCTAGCCTGGCACCAGCGCTGCGATGACGACACCGCCGCTCAGCGGCGAGTGACAGCCATCGGTGTTGTTGATGTGCGAGTTGGTACGTCCGTGTGTCCGTGACACCCACCACCTCGCATCGCTACCACAATCTCTTGTCACCACCACCACCACTACCATCACCACCACCACCACCCACACCACCACCACCCACACCACCACCACCCACACCACCACCACCCACACCACCACCACCCACACCACCACCCACCCCAACAACACCTACACCACAACAAAAACCACAACCCACACCACCACCACCACCACCCACACCACCATCTCCACAACCCCCACAACCTCCATCCACTCCATCACCACCACCCCCATCACCTCCATCTCCACCCCAACCACCACCTCCCCCCCTGCCCCACTCACCACCACCACCGCCCCCACCACCACCACTCACCACCACCTCCATCACCCCCACTACCACCCCCACTCACCACCACCCCCACTCACCACCCCCACTCACCACCACCCCCACTCACCGCCCCCACCACCCCCACTACCCACCCCCACTACCCCCACTCACCACCCCCACTCACCACCACCCACTCACCACCACCACCCCCACTCACCACCCCCACTCACCACCACCACCCCCACTCACCACCCCCACTCACCACCACCCCCACTCACCACTCACCACCCCCACTCACCACCACCCCCACTCACCACCACCACCCCCACTCACCACCACCCCTACTCACCACCCCCACTCACCACCCACCACCCACCGCCGCCCCCGCCACGTGCCCCCGGCAGGCTTCCTAGGCCGGGTGCGCTTCTGCGAGTACTCTGGCGGCTACTTCTGCGCCTGCTGCCACGTGGGGTCGCGTGCCGCCCTGCCGGCCCTGGTGCTGCGCCGCTGGGACTTCTCGGCGCGCCCCGTCAGTGAACACGGCCGCGAGCTGCTCAGCCGTGCCGCGGGGGACCCCCTCTGTGACGTGGGGGCGCTGCACCCCGGCCTGTACACGAGGGTGCGGGCCCTGCGCGGCGTGCGGGTACGGGGCGGCAGCGGCGGTGCACTGCCGCGCTACCACACAAGACTACCACACAACACTACCGCACTACCACACAACACTACCGCACTACCACACAACACTACCACAGCATTACCACACTACCACACAAGACTACCACACTGCCACACAAGACTACCACACTACCACAGCAATACCACACTACCACAGCAATACCACACTACCACACAAGACTACCACACTACCACACAAGACTACCACACAAGACTACCACACTACCACACAAGACTACCACACTACCACACAAGACTACCACACTGCCACACAAGACTACCACACTACCACACAGCACTACCACACTACCACACAAGACTACCACACTACCACACAGCACTACCACACTACCACACAAGACTACCACACAACACTACCGCACTACCACACAAGACTACCACACAACACTACCACACAACACTACCACACAACACTACCGCACTACCACACAAGACTACCACACAACACTACCGCACTACCACACAACACTACCACAGCATTACCACACTACCACACAGCACTACCACACTACCACACAAGACTACCACACTACCACACAGCACTACCACACAGCACACAAGACTACCGCACTACCACACAGCACTACCACACTACCACACTAGACTACCACACTACCACACAACACTACCACAGCATTACCACACTACCACACTACCACACAAGACTACCGCACTACCACACTACCGCACTACCACACAGCACACTACCACACAGCACACTACCACACAGCACTGCCACACTACCACACAGCACACTACCACACAACACTGCCACACTACCACACAGCACACTACCACACTACCACACAGCACTGCCGCACTACCACACTACCACACAGCACTGCCACACTACCACACAGCACACTACCACACAGCACTGCCACACTACCACACAGCACACTACCACACTACCACACAAGACTACCACACTACCACACAAGACTACCACACTACCGCACTACCGCACTACCACACAGCACTACCACAGCAATACCACACTACCACACAAGACTACCACAGCATTACCACACTACCACACAAGACTACCACACTACCGCACTACCACACTACCACACAAGACTACCACACTACCACACAAGACTACCACACTACCACACAAGACTACCACACTACCACACAAGACTACCACACTACCACACAAGACTACCACACTACCACACAAGACTACCACACTACCACACTAGACTACCACACTACCACACAAGACTACCACACTACCACACAAGACTACCACACTACCACACAAGACTACCACACTACCACACAAGACTACCACACTACCACACAACACTACCGCACTACCACACTACCACACTACACTACCACAGCATTACCACACTACCACACAAGACTACCACACTACCACACTGCCGCACAAAACTACCACACTACCACACAAGACTACCACACTACCACACAAGACTACCACACTACCACACAAGACTACCACACTACCACACAAGACTACCACACTACCACACTAGACTACCACACTACCGCAGCAATACCACACTACCACACAAGACTACCACACTACCACAGCAATACCACACTACCACACAGCACTACCACACTACCACACAAGACTACCACACTACCACAGCAATACCACACTACCACACTACCACACAGCACTACCACACTACCACACAAGACTACCACACTGCCGCACTGCCACACAAGACTACCACACTACCACAGCAATACCACACTACCACACAGCACTACCACACTACCACACAGCACTACCACACTACCACACAAGACTACCACACTGCCGCACTGCCACACAAGACTACCACACTACCACACTGCCACACAGCACACTACCACACTACCACACAAGACTACCACACATACCACACAAGACTACCACACTACCACACAGCACTACCACACTACCACACTAGACTACCACACTACCACACAAGACTACCACACTACCACACAAGACTACCACACTACCACAGCAATACCACACTACCACACTACCACACAAGACTACCACAGCAGTACCACACTGCCGCGCAAAACTACCACACTACCACACAAGACTACCGCACTGCCGCACAAGACTACCACAGCATTACCACACTACCACACAAGACTACCGCACTACCACACAAGACTACCACACTACCACACAAGACTACCACACTACCACACAAGACTACCGCACTGCCATACAAGACTACGACAGCAGTACCACACTACCGCACAAGACTACCACACTACCACACTACCGCACAAGACTACCACACTACCACACAAGACTACCACACAAGACTACCACACTACCGCGCAAGACTACCACACTACGACACAAGACTACCACACTACCGCACTACCACACAAGACTACCGCACTGCCACGCCGCACTTCCACACAAGATTACCACACTACCGCACTACCACCACACTACCATACAGCACTACCACAGCAATACTGCACTACCACACAAGACTACCACACTACCACACAAGACTACCACACTACCGCACTTCCACCACACCACCACCACACTACCACCACACTACCACCACACTACCACCACACTACCACACTACCACCACACTACCACACTACCACCACACTACCACCACACTACCACACTACCACCACACTACCACCACACTACCACTACACTACCACACTACCACCACACTACCACCACACTACCACACTACCACCACACTACCACACAACACTACCACCACACTACCACTACACTACCACACTACCACCACACTACCACACTACCACCACACTACCACACAACACTACCACCACACTACCACACTACCACCACACTACCACACTACCACTACACTACCACACTACGACCACACTACCACCACACTACTGCCACACTACTACACTACCACACTACCACTACACTACCACACTACCACCACACTACTACCGCACTACCACACTATCACACAACACTACCACACCACTACCACACTACCACCACACTACCACCACACTACCACACTACCACACAACACTACCACACCACTACCACACTACCACCACACTACCACCACACTACCACCACACTACCACACAACACTACCACCACACTACCACACTACCACCACACTACCACACTACCACTACACTACCACACTACGACCACACTACCACCACACTACTGCCACACTACTACACTACCACACTACCACTACACTACCACACTACCACCACACTACCACCGCACTACCACACTATCACACAACACTACCACACCACTACCACACTACCACCACACTACCACCACACTACCACACAACACTACCACACTACCACCACACTACCACCACACTACCACACAACACTACCACCACACTACCACACTACCACCACACTACCACCGCACTACCGCACAGGAAGAAGAGGAGGAGGATGTTGATGGTTTTGTTGATGGTGGTGGTGATGATGCTGATTGTGGTGGTGATGTTGATGGTGGTGATGATGCTGATTGTGGTGGTGATGTTGATGGTGGTGATGTTGATGGTGGTGATGATGCTGATTGTGGTGGTGATCATGATGGTGTTGATGGAGGTGATGTTGATGGTGGTGATGTTGATGATGATGTTGATGGTGGTGATGGTGATGTTGATGATGATGTTAATGGTGGTGATGGTGATGTTGATGATGATGTTGATGGTGATAATGTTGATGGTGGTGGTGATGTTGATGGTGGTGATGTTGATGTTGATGATCTTGATGATGGTGATGATGGTGGTGATCGTAATGGTGATGTTGATGGTGGGGATGTTGATGGTGGTGATGGTGATGTTGATGATGTTGATGGTGATAATGTTGTTGGTGGTGATGTTGATGAGGATGTTGATGGTGAGGATGTTGATGGCGGTGATGTTGTTGATGATATTGATGGTGATCATGTTGATGGTGGTGATGTTAATGATGTTCATGGAGGTGATGGTGATGTTTGAGAGGATGTTGATGATGGTGGTGGTGATATTGATGGTGATGGTGATGATGTTGATGGTGGTGATGGTGATGTTGATGGTGATGATATTGATGGTGATGTTTTTCTCTAGGATCTTCGTGAGCAGCTGTTCCACATGAAGAATCTCTTGAAGACGTGCAGATTCGCAACACGGTACCATCACTATAATCACCACCATCACCACCACTATCACCACCACCACTATCACCACCATCACCACCACTATCACCATCACCACTATCACCATTACCACCATCACCACCATCACCACCACCACTACTATCACCACCACCATCACTACCATCACCACCATCACCACCACCACCCTCACCACTATCACCACCACCACTACTATCACCACCACCATCACCACCACTACTATCACCACCACTACTACTATCACCACCACCATCACCACCGTCATCACCACCGTCATCACCACCACCATCACCACCACCGCCACCACCATCGCCATCACCGCCACCATCACCATCACTGCCACCACCACCACCATCAATGCCATCACCACCACCATCACCACTACCACCACTTTCACCAACACCATCACCACCATCAACTTCACCACCACCATCACCACCCCCACCACCACCATCAACATCACCAACACCATCACCAGCACCATCACCACCATCAACATCAACGTAGTAATGGTGGTGGTTCTAGTTGTAGTAATGGTGGTAATGGTGGTGGTTGTGGTGGTTGTAGTTGTGGTGGTGGTTGTGGTGGTTGTGGTAATGGTTGTTGTGGTGGTGGTGGTTGTCAGGGTGGTGGACCGCTTCGATGAGGAGCCACGCCACCTGAGTGAGCGAGTCCACCTTTACTCGCTCAGGGAGTTGCTGGTGGTTGTCGTGGTGGTGGTAATGGTTGAGGTGGTGGTGGTAATGGTTGTTGTGGTTGTGGTGGTGGTAGTGGTTGTGGTGGTTGTGGTAATGGTTGTTGTGGTGGTTGTGGTTGTCAGGGTGGTGGACCGCTTCGATGAGGAGCCAGGCCACCTGAGTGAGCGAGTCCACCTTTACTCACTCAGGGAGTTGCTGGTGGTTGTCGTGGTTGTGGTAATGGTTGTGGTGGTGGTAATGGTTGTTGTGGTTGTGGTGGTGGTTGTGGTGGTGGTGGTAATGGTTGTTGTGGTGGTTGTGGTGGTGGTAATGGTTGTTGTGGTTGTGGTGGTGGTGGTTGTCAGGGTGGTGGACCGCTTCGACGAGGAGCCAGGCCACCTGAGTGAGCGAGTCCACCTTTACTCACTCAGGGACTTGGTCCACGTGAAGTCGGGCTCCCTGGCCCAGCGCCTAGCCGAGCTCTTGCACGTGGGGCTCACCCACGTGAACAACTGTGAGGTGAGCGGCAACCACCACCACCACCACAACCACCACCACAACCACTACAACCACCACAACCACCACCACCACAACCACCACCACCACAACCACTACAACCACCGCCACCACTACCACCACCACTGCCACCACCACCACCGTCACAACCACCACCACCACAACCACTACAACCACCGCCGCCACCACCACCACTACCACCACCACTGCCACCACAGCCACTGCCACCGCCACCACCACCGCCACCACCGCCACAACCACCGCCGCCACCACCACTGCCACCGCCACCACTGCCACCGCCACCACTGCCACCACCACTGCCACCATCGCCACAACTACTGCCACCACCACTACCACCGCCACCACTGCCATCACCGCCACCACCGCCACAACCACCGCCGCCACCACCGCCACAACCACCGCCACAACCACCGCCGCCGCCACCACTATTGTCGCCGCCACGACCACCACCACGACCACCACCACTACCACCACCACCACTACAACCACCACTACAACCACTACAACCACCACCACAACCACCACCACAATCACTACAACCACTACAACCACTACAACCACCACCACTACAACTACCATCACAACCACTACAACCACCACCACTACAACCACCACTACTACAACTACCACCACTACCACAAACACCACCACTACAACCACCACCACTACAACAACCAATGCTACAACCACCACCACTACAACCACTAATACCACCACTACAACCACTAAAACTACTACCACTAACACCACCACTACAACCACCACCACTACAACCACCACCACTACAACCACCACCACAACTGCAGCCGCCACCACTACAACCACCACCACTACAACCACCACAACTACCACTTACCACTAACACCATAACCACTACAACCGCCACCACAACCACAACCACCACCACTACGGCCACTACTACCACCACCATTACTACAACCACCACTACTGGTTGTTGTTGAAGTTGTTGTTGTAGTAGTTGTAGTAGTTGTTGTTGTTGTAGTAGTTGTAGTAGTTGTTGCAGTAGTTGTAGTAGTTGTTGTTGTAGTAGTTGTAGTAGTTGTTGTTGCAGTAGTTGTAGTAGTTGTAGTAGTTGTTGCAGTAGTTGTTGTAGTAGTTGTTGTTGTTGTAGTAGTTGTTGTAGTAGTTGTTGTAGTAGTTGTTGTAGTAGTTTTTGTTATAGTTGTAGTAGTTGTTGTAGTTGTTGTAGTAGTTGTTGTTGTAGTAGTTTTAGTAGTTGTAGTTGTTGTAGTAGTTGTTGTAGTTGTAGTAGTTGTAGTTGTTGTTGTAGTAGTTGTTGTTGTAGTAGTTGTAGTTGTTGTAGTAGTTGTTGTAGTAGTTGTTGTTGTAGTTGTAGTAGTTAGTTGTTGTTGTAGTAGTTGTAGTAGTTGTTGCTGTAGTAGTTAGTTGTTGTTGCAGTAGTTGTAGTAGTTGTTGTAGTAGTAGTTGTTGTTGTTGTAGTTGTTGTAGTAGTTGTTGTAGTAGTTGTTGTAGTAGTTGTTGTAGTAGTTGTTGTAGTAGTTGTTGCAGTTGTTGTAGTAGTTGTTGTAGTTGTTGTAGTAGTTGTTGTTGTAGTAGTTAGTTGTTGTTGTAGTAGTTGTAGTTGTTGTAGTAGTTGTTGTAGTAGTTGTTGTTGTAGTAGTTGTTGTAGTTGTTGTAGTAGTTGTTGTAGTTGTTGTTGTAGTTGTTGTTGCAGTTGTTGTAGTAGTTGTTGTAGTTGTTGTAGTAGTTGTTGTAGTAGTTGTTGTTGTAGTAGTAGTAGTAGTTATTGTAGTAGTTGTTGTAGTAGTTGTTGTAGTAGTAGGTGTTGTTGTTGTAGTAGTTGTTGTAGTAGTTGTAGTTGTTGTTGCAGTAGTTGTTGTAGTTGTTGTTGTTGTTGTTGCCTCACAGCTGTGCCAGGCCAAAGGCTTCATCTGTGAGTTCTGCCACAACGACAACGACATTCTTCACCCATTCCAGCTCGCACGCTGCCGCCAGTGTGATGGTACTCACCACTCACTCACCACTCACTCACTCACCACTCACTCACCACTCACTCACCACTCACTCACCACTCACTCACTCATACACTCACTCATACACTCACTCATACACTAACTCACTCACTCATACACTCACTCATACACTCACTCACCACTCACTCACCACTCACTCACTCACCACTCACTCACCACTCACTCACCACTCATCACTCACCACTCACTCACCACTCACTCACCACTCACTCACTCACCACTCACTCACCACTCACTCACTCACCACTCACTCACCACTCACTCACCACTCACTAACTCACCACTCACTCACCACTCACTCACTCACCACTCACTCACCACTCACTCACCACTCACTCACTCACCACTCACTCACCACTCACTCACCACTCACTCACTCACCACTCACTCACCACTCACTCACTCATCAACTCACTCACTCACTCACCACTCACTCACCACTCACTCACTCACCACTCACTCACTCACCACTCACTCACCACTCACTCACCACTAACTCACCACTCACTCACCACTCACTCACTCACTCACCACTCACTCACCACTCACTCACTCACTCACCACTCACTCACCACTCACTCACCACTCACTCACTCACCACTCACTCACCACTCACTCACTCACCACTCACTCACCACTCACTCACTCACCACTCACTCACCACTCACTCACCACTCACTCACTCACCACTCACTCACCACTCACTCACTCACCACTCACTCACCACTCACTCACCACTCACTCATTCACTCATCAACTCACTCACCACTCACTCACCACTCACTCACCACTCACTCACTCACCACTCACCACTCACTCACCACTCACTCACCACTCACTCACTCACCACTCACTCATCACTCACTCACCACTCACCACTAACTCACCACTCACTCACCACTCACTCACCACTCACTCACTCACTCACCACTCACTCACCACTCACTCACTCACCACTCACTCACCACTCACTCACTCACTCACCACTCACTCACTCACTCATCACTCACTCACTCACTCACCACTAACTCACCCACTCACCACTCACTCACCCACTCACCACTCACTCACCACTCACTCACCACTCACTCACTCACCACTCACTCACCACTCACTCACTCACCACTCACTCACCACTCACTCATTCACTCATCAACTCACTCACCACTCACTCACCACTCACTCACCACTCACTCACCACTCACCACTCACTCACTACTCACTCACTCACCACTCACTCACCACTCACTCACTCACTCACCACTCACTCATCACTCACTCATCACTCACTCACCACTCACTCACCACTCACTCACTCACTCACCACTCACTCACCACTCACTCACTCACCACTCACTCACTCACTCATCACTCACTCACTCGCCACTCACTCACCACTCACCACTCACTCACCACTCACTCACTCATCACTCACTCACTCACTCACCACTCACTCACCCACTCACCACTCACTCACCCACTCACCACTCACCACTCACTCACCCACTCACTCACTCACCACTCACTCACTCATCACTCACTCATTCACTCATCACTCACTCACTCACCACTCACTCACCCACTCACCACTCACTCACCACTCACTCACCCACTCACTCACCACTCACTCACTCACCACTCACTCACCCACTCACCACTCACTCACTCACTCACCCACTCACCACTCACTCACTCACTCACCACTCACTCACCACTCACTCTCACCACTCACTCACCCACTCACCATTCACTGACCACTCACTCACCACTCACTCACCCACTCACCACTCACTCACTCACTCACCACTCACTCACCACTCACTCACTCACCACTCACTCACCCACTCACTCACCACTCACTCACCCACTCACCACTCACTCACTCACTCACCACTCACTCACCACTCACTCATCCACTCACCACTCACTCACCACTCACTCACCACTCACTCGCCACTCACTCACCACTCACTCACTCACCACTCACTCACCACTCACTCACTCACCACTCACTCACGACTCACTCACTCACCCACTCACTCACTCACCACTCACCACTCAATCACCACTCACTCACTCATCAACTCACTCTCACTCACCACTCACTCACTCACCACTCACTCACCACTCACTCACTACTCACTCACTCACCACTCACTCACTCACTACTCACTCACCACTCACTCACTCACCACTCACTCACTCATCAACTCACTCACTCACCACTCACTCACCACTCACCACTCACTCACCACTCACTCACTCATCAACTCACTCACTCACTCACCACTCACTCACCACTCACTCACCACTCACTACTCACTCACTCACCACTCACTCATCAACTCACTCACTCACCACTCACTCACTCACCACTCACTCACCACTCACTCACCACTCACTCACACAGACAAAGGTCCCCCGTGTAGCCTCTAACAGACTGCAGGGGCAAGTGCTGTTAGCGAGCATCACCTGTGAAGGCTACCGGCACCGTGGCACACGAGGGGGGTGGGTGGCTATCAGCACAACGCCCGGCCGCCTTTGTCTCCCCAGTGGCGATGTTCACTACACACCCATGACACCAGCCACTCTTTTGAGGCCGAGTTGACCTAGGGGAGGCCCAGAACCGGTTCTGATCACCTGCGGTTATATTGGCTGCAAAGCAGCCAATCGAACCCGGGGCCGCCAGGTCCGTCGCCCCGTCTGTGCCCAACAGCTGCCCTGCCGCCGCTCCCCGCACAAACACACGCACAAACACACGCACGTACACAAACACGTACACACGCACAACACACGTACACACGCACGTACACACGCACGTACACACGCACGTACACACGCACGTACACACGCACGTACACACGCACAAACACACGCACGTACACACGCACGTACACACGCACGTACACACGTACAAACACACGCACGTACACACGCACGGACACACGCACGTACACACGTACAAACACACGCACGTACACACGCACGTACACACGCACGTACACACGCACGTACACACGTACAAACACATGCACAAACACACACACGTACACACGCACGTACACACGCACGTACACACGTACACACGTACAAACACACGCACGTACACACGCACGTACACACGCACAAACACACACACGGACACACGCACGTACACACGCACGTACACACACACGTACACACGCACAAACACACACACGTACACACGCACGTACACACGCATGTACACACGCACGTACACACGCACGTACACACGCACAAACACACACACGTACACACGCACTCTGCTTGTTGTCGTTCCCTGCTGTCGCCGCCTGTTCTTGCCGGTGGTTGCTGCTGCTGTTGCTGTTGTTGTTGATAATTGGTTGTTTTTTTTTTACACCCTTTTATCCGGAAACAAAACTGACACCTTTTTTTGCACGGTGTAAATGCTCCACCCCGAGGTCTCGTACTCTGATGGTGCATTGTCTCTTTGAGTTGTGCGACGCCTTTTTTGGCGTCTTCTGGTCCAACACCAACGTGAGACTTAAGGGCCTCTAAAGAAAAGCCGTCTCGGGCGTGGACCAATCAGTTTCAAAGACAGTGCCACATACATTATCAGAGTTGTTGTTGTTTTGTGTTTGCGTTCCGACCGCAGGTATTGTGGTCAATGTAAACGTGACACCTTGTAAACAAAAAAGACGTCAGTTTTGTTGCCAGATAAAAGGGTTAAAAAACCAATTATCATATTTTGTTACCGGCAAATGAGGTTTCCAGTGGTGTAAATGCTTACCCCGAGGTCTCATACTCTGATGGTGCATTGTCTCTTTGAGTTGTGCGACGCCTTTTTTGGCGTCTTCTGGTCCAACACCAACGTGAGACTTAAGGGCCTCTAAAGAAAAGCTGTCTCGGGCGTGGACCAATCAATTTCAAGGACAGTGCCACATACATTATCAGAGGTTTTTTTTTTTGCGTTCCGACCGTAGGCATTGTGGTCAATGTAAACGTGACTCCTTGTCAAAAAAAAGACGACAGTTTTGTTGCCAGATAAAAGGGTTAAAAAAACAATTATCATATTCTTTGGTTCTTTCGGTAAAGTCACGTAGAATGAGAATAAAATAATAAATTGATAAAATAAAATAACACAATAATATTCTCACGACGTTTCGGCCACAACACAAGCGGCCTTCATCAGGTGAAGGGACGAGACTGTCTGGAGGACACCACTCCAGCGCTGGAGTCCTACCAGACAGTCTCGTCCCTTCACCTGATGAAGGCCGCTTGTGTTGTGGATGAAACGTCGTGAGAATATTATTGTGTTATTTTATTTTATCAATTTATTATTTTATTCTCATTCTACGTGACTTTACCGAAAGAACCAAAGAAGATGAATCCTTGCAGTCACGAAAGCTTTAAGTCGAAAATTATCATATTTTGTTACTGGCAAATGAGGTTTCCAGTGGTGGTGTTGTTGTTTTTGCAGAGTGCCGCGCCTGCTTCCACCGCTCCTGTTTCCTGCCCTCCCTCCCGTGCCCCCGTTGCCAGCGGCGACGCTCGCGCAGGGAGGAGATGGATCGCCGTGACGACGACCCCGGCCTCCCCGCCAACGGCCCCCGTCTCCCCGACAACGGCCCCGTGTCCCTGAGGACGACCCCGTCTCTCTGATCGCCCGGGTTTACCCTCAGCCGCGCTGTTACCGTGACGGCCGTTGCCACCCCATCGGTGGAGACAACGCCCTCTTACGATTGGCCGTGAGTTCCGGCGTGCTCTGGTTGTAGCAGGGACGTCGCGAATGTCGGAAGAGAAGAGCGGGGTCGGGAGTCTCAGGCGAATCGATCCGATCTGAGGAGGCGTCGTGACATCGTAAACTTTTGCTCATGTAAGAGCCGTTGCATCATCCCCCCCCCCCCGCCCCCCCCCAATTGCCAATCAGCTGTCGCCCAGACGGTGTCACCCAGGCAACGTGGCCGCCATTACGTCACCCGGGCAATATGGCCGCCTCAACGTCACCCAGGCAAGATGGCCGCCACGATGTCACCCAGGCAAGATGGCCGCCACGACGTCACCCAGGCAAGATGGCCACCACGATGTCACCCAGGCAAGATGGCCACCACAACGTCACCCAGGCAAGATGGCCGCCACGACGTCACCCAGGCAATATGGCCACCACGACGTTACCCAGGCAATATGGCCGTGACCACGTCACCCAGGCAAGATGGCCGGCCACGATGTCACCCAGGCAAGATGGCCGCCACCACATTGCCCAGGCAAGATGGCCGCCACCACGACCTCAACCAGGCAACATGGCCGCTATCTTTGCTCCATGTGCTTAACCCGCTCCATGGTTGGGAGTGTTTATGCAGAGGCTTCACTCTTCAATTCCAGCAGGCCGCCCTGGTTAATACTGCGGTGTGTGAACTGTTAGACAGGGACTCCTCTACTTATTAACAAGTTAGGTTCCATTTGTTCGCAAGTCAAACTTTACTCCTGTCGATTCAGAACATGTTGTACGGCATGTACACTGGAGCACGGTGAATGGCTTTAAAAGTTGATTCACCTGTACATGTAGATGCCACTGGTTCTTCACGTTCTGCAGATGTAGATGCCACTGGTTCTTCACGTTCTGCAGATGTAGATGCCACTGGTTCTTCACGTTCTGCAGATGTAGACGTCACTGGTTCTTCACGTTCTGTAGATGCCACAGGTTCTTCACTTTCTGCAGATGTAGATTCCACTGATTCTTCACGTTCTGCAGATGTAGATGCCACTGGTTCTTCACGTTCTGTAGATGTAGATGCCACTGGTTCTTCACGTTCTGCAGATGTAGATGCCACTGGTTCTTCACGTTCTGCAGATGTAGATGCCACTGGTTCTTCACGTTCTGCAGATGTAGACGTCACTGGTTCTTCACGTTCTGTAGATGCCACAGGTTCTTCACTTTCTGCAGATGTAGATTCCACTGATTCTTCACGTTCTGCAGATGTAGATGCCACTGGTTCTTCACGTTCTGTAGATGTAGATGCCACTGGTTCTTCATGTTCTGCAGATGTAGATGCCACTGGTTCTTCACGTTCTGCAGATGTAGATGTCACTGGTTCTTCATGGTCTGTTGATGTAGATGCCACTGGTTCTTAATGCTCTGTCGATGTAGATGCCACTGGTTCTTCATGTTCTGCAGATGTAGATGCCACTGGTTCTTCACGTTCTGCAGATGTAGATGCCACTGGTTATTCACGTTCTGCAGATGTAGATGCCACTGGTTCTTCACGTTCTGCAGATGTAGATGCCACTGGTTCTTCACGTTCTGCAGATGTAGATGCCACTGGTTCTTCACGTTCTGCAGATGTAGATGCCACTGGTTCTTCACGTTCTGCAGATGTAGATGCCACTGGTTCTTCACGTTCTGCAGATGTAGATGCCACTGGTTCTTCACGTTCTGCAGATGTAGATGCCACTGGTTCTTCATCTTCTGCAGATGTAGATGCCACTGGTTCTTCACGTTCTGCAGATGTAGATGCCACTGGTTCTTCACGTTCTGAAGATGTGGATGTCACTGATTGTTCATCTTCTGCAGATGTCACTGCTTCTTCATGTTCTGCAGATGTAGATGCCACTGGTTCTTCATGTTCTGCAGATGTAGATGCCACTGGTTCATCATGTTCTGGAGATGTAGATGCCACTGGTTCTTCACGTTCTGCAGATGTAGATGCCACTGGTTCTTCACGTTCTGCAGATGTAGATGCCACTGGTTCTTCACCTTCTGCAGGTGTAGATGCCACTGGTTCTTCACGTTCTGCAGATGTAGATGCCACTGGTTCTTCACCTTCTGCAGGTGTAGATGCCACTGGTTCTTCATGTTCTGCAGATGTAGATGCCACTGGTTCTTCACGTTCTGCAGATGTAGACGTCACTGGTTCTTCACATTCTGTAGATGCCACTGGTTCTTCACTTTCTGCATATGTAGATGCCACTGGTTCTTCACGTTCTGCAGATGTAGATGCCACTGGTTCTTCACGTTCTGTAGATGCCACTGGTTCTTCATGTTCTGCAGATGTAGATGCCACTGGTTCTTCACTTTCTGCATATGTAGATGCCACTGGTTCTTCACGTTCTGCAGATGTAGATGCCACTGGTTCTTCACGTTCTGTAGATGCCACTGGTTCTTCATGTTCTGCAGATGTAGATGCCACTGGTTCTTCATCTTCTGCAGATGTAGATGCCACTGGTTTTTCATGTTCTGCAGATGTAGATGCCACTGGTTGTTCACGTTCTGCAGATGTAGATGCCACTGGTTCTTCACGTTCTGCAGATGTAGATGCCACTGGTTATTCACGTTCTGCAGATGTAGATGCCACTGGTTCTTCATCTTCTGCAGATGTAGATGCCACTGGTTCTTCACGTTCTGCAGATGTAGATGCCACTGGTTCTTCACGTTCTGCAGATGTAGATGCCACTGGTTCTTCACGTTCTGCAGATGTAGATGCCACTGGTTCTTCATCTTCTGCAGATGTAGATGTCACTGGTTCTTCATGCTCTTCAGATGTAGATGTCACTGGTTCTTCACGCTCTGTCGATGTAGATGCCACTGGTTCTTAATGCTCTGTCGATGTAGATGCCACTGGTTCTTCACGTTCTGCAGACGTAGATGCCACTGGTTCTTCACGCTCTGTCGATGCAGATGCCACCACCGCCATCTGTTGAACTTACGAATCTCGGTCCCAACAGGCAACTGGACTTACGGAACGCGTTTGTTCGTATCTCTGAAAGTTCGCAAGTCGGATGTTCGTAAGTAGAGGAGTCGCCGTACTACTGCCACGACTCCGCGCCCCATCTGCTTCACCCGCAGTGGACGTTGAAAGATCCGGCGAGGCGTCGTTCGCAAAGAGTTGGGCCGTGGTGCGCCACCGTGATGGGCGCGGATTTGCCAAATGTTTGCAAATGTTACAAAGCAGCCGCAATCATCGCCACCCCCTACTGGCAGCAGGCCAATGCACGGGGACAGCTGCCACTGGGGGTGCCCCTAGGCTAGACCCACACACAGCGGCAATCATCACCACCCCTACTACTGACAGACTGATGCACAGGGACAGCTGCCACTGGGGGTGCCCCTAGGCTAGACCACACAGCAGTCAACCATCGCCACCCCTACTACTGACAGACTGATGCACAGGGACAGCTGCCACTGGGGGTGCCCCTAGGCTAGACCACACAGCAGTCAACCATCGCCACCCCCTACTACTGACAGACTGATGCACAGGGACAGCTGCCGCTGGGGGTGCCACTAGGCTAGACCCACACACAGCAGTCAATCATCACCACCCCTACCACTGACAGACTGATGCACAGGGACAGCTGCCACTGGGGGTGCCCCTAGGCTAGACCCACACAGCGGCAACAATCATCACCACCCCCTACTACTGACAGACTGATGCACAGGGACAGCTGCCACTGGGGGTGCCCCTAGGCTAGACCCACACACAGCAGCAGCAGCAACCATCATCGCCACCCCCGACTGAAAACCACATCAAATGTTCCAAATGCACTCAATCGTTACGAAATGATGAACTTACTACTGTTGATTAATTTAATGATTAATGTTATTACATGAATGTTTATCGATCATGAATTATGCATTTGTTATTATTACATTTATAACGTGCCTATGATTATCATTAACCCCGGGGAGCCTCACCGAATGTCAAGACTCGACAAGCCAGGGTCCTGTTAAGCTGTTGGAAGGGGCGATGATGATGCTCATGATGATGATGCTGCTGCTGCTGCTGCTGCGAAATCTCTGTCGTGGAATTTGCTGCAGGGAATGTCTCCGCACTGATTGTGGAGGGTTGGTGGAGGGGGGAGGTCGTGGGGATTTTTCGTCGATAGCAGTTCCACTGTGGGTGTGGGGTTTAGCTATGGGAGGAGGACATCAAGTAATTCAGAGGAAACCCCCATTCAGGACGGGGAGATAAGACACAAACTCCACTCACTCTGTACAACACAAACTCCACTCAGTCTGTAGAACACAATCTCCACTCAGTCTGTAGAACACAATCTCCACTCACTCTGTAGAACACAATCTCCATTCTGTAGAACACAATCTCCACTCTGTAGAACACAAACTCCACTCACTCACACTCTGTAGAACACAAACTCCACTCAGTCTGTAGAACACAATCTCCACTCACTCTGTAGAACACAATCTCCACTCTGTAGAACACAAACTCCACTCACTCTGCAGAACACAAACTCCACTCACTCTGTAGAACACAATCTCCACTCACTCTGTAGGACACAATCTCCACTCTGTAGAACACAAACTCCACTCTGTAGAACACAAACTCCACTCACTCTGTACAACACAAACTCCACTCAGTCTGTAGAACACAATCTCCACTCTGTAGAACACAATCTCCACTCTGTAGAACACAAACTCCACTCACTCTGCAGAACACAAACTCCACTCACTCTGTAGAACACAATCTCCACTCTGTAGAACACAATCTCCACTCTGTAGAACACAATCTCCACTCTGTAGAACACAAACTCCACTCACTCTGCAGAACACAAACTCCACTCACTCTGTAGAACACAATCTCCACTCACTCTGTAGAACACAATCTCCACTCTGTAGAACACAATCTCCACTCTGTAGAACACAATCTCCACTCTGTAGAACACAAACTACACTCACTCACATTCTGTAGAACACAAACTCCACTCACACTCTGTAGAACACAAACTCCACTCACACTCTGTAGAACACAAACTCCACTCACACTCTGTAGAACACAAACTCCACTCACTCACGCTCACTCTGTATAACACAAACTCCACTCACTCACACTCTGTAGAACACAAACTCCACTCACTCTGTAGAACACAAACTCACTCACACTCTGTAGAACACAAACTCCACTCACTCACACTCGCTCTGTAGAACACAAACTCCACTCACTCACACTCTGTAGAACACAAACTCCACTCACACTCTGTAGAACACAAACTCCACTCACTCTGTAGAACACAATCCCCACTCACTCACACTCACTCTGTAGAACACATACTCCACTCACTGCAGAACACAATCTGCACTCACACTATAGAACACAAACTCCACTCACACTCTGTAGAACACAAACTCCACTCACACTCTGTAGAACGCAAACTCCACTCACTCACACTCGCTCTGTAGAACACAAACTCCACTGACACCCTGTATAACACAAACTCCACTCATACCCTGTATAACACAAACTCCACTCACACTCGCTCTGTAGAACGCAAACTGCACTCACACTCGCTCTGTAGAACACAAATTCCACTCACTCACAATCACTCTGTAGAACACAAACGCCACTCACTCACACTCGCTCTGTAGAACACAAACTCCACTCGCTCTGTAGAACACAAACTCCACTCACACCCTGTATAACACAAACTCCACTCACACTCGCTCTGTATAACACAAACTCCACTCACACTCGCTCTGTAGAACACAAACTCCACTCACGCTAACTCTGTAGAACACAAACTCCACTCACACTCGCTCTGTAGAACACAAACTCCACTCACCCTGTAGAACACAAACTCCACTCACTCAC